GAGGGGAAAGGGGACTAAATTTTTTTGTTATTAGTTGAAAAACTTTTTCGTGTTGATTGATTTCGGCTCAGGTTTTTTCGGCTTTGTTACGGCTTGGTTATTATAAATTCAAACTCAATCAACCATCCGGAACATCTGGGGTAGTGGTAATACAACTGCTTGAGACGGCATAAAATTGTGGTTCGAATCATCCGGCCTGTTTTTCTGTTTGCTAGCTAGAGTCTGTGCTTTTTCTAACTATCGTCCGTCTGTTTATTTTTGTCGGCTTACCTCCCATTACCCGTTTTTTTGTGAAGTTTCAGTTTTCTTCCAAGTTGCTGTTATACCCATGCTTGAGATCACAAAGCCCGGGAGTTCGGTTCCAGTCGAGTCCAATTTTTTGCAAAACGAAAATTTTTGTCGGCTGTTTATTTTTGTCGGCTTACCTCCCATTACCCGTTTTTTTGTGAAGTTTCAGTTTTCTTCCAAGTTGCTGTTATACCAATGCTTGAGATCACAAAGCCCGGGAGTTCGATTCCAGTCGAGACCAATTTTTTGCAAAACGAAAATTTTCGTGCACTTAGATTATTATCTGTCTGCTTATTTTTGTCAACTTACTTCAGCTGAAAGGGCTTTTTTGAATATTCGGCTTCTTTCTATCATTCCGAAAGCTCCTTGATTAGTTTTCAGTCGTACAGGTAGTTTTTTTTTTTTGGGCTGTAATTTTTAATGACAAAAACGATTTTTTCAAGTTATTTTTAATGTATGTCCTCCGTTTATTTTAATAATAGTCATTCGTTTTTGTATCGCAAGTGGCGCGAAGCTTAGCTTCGCCTCTGTGTTTATAATTGATTCCATTTTTTGAAGAATGTTCTTGGTTTTTGATGCTGTTGAAAACTTTCTATTGCTAAGGTAACGCTAAGTGAAGTTTAAATTAATTTGCCCGGAGCAAAACACAGTTTGACTACTTGAATCTGAATTTTTCATAAGGCTTGTAATTAGACCAAAACTAAAAATTTTAAACCGGTGTTTCTTGACACTGTGAAAACTTCACAAAAGTTTGTTCTAAGCAAGACTGAAAGGGCTTTAATTTGATTTAGCAGTCGACTCATTTTGATGATTTTTTGTTCAAAGTTCGATGTTCTAGCCACATCCGCATCTATACTTGACATTTTTTTTTCAAAAAAAAACTTTTTAGTTTGTTGATTTCGTTCTGTTATTAAATTCAGATTTTAGGAGTGATATAGTTTTGAGCAAAAATCAGGTCGGTTTTTTTCCAAAAACTGTTGGTCACACCGTGGAAAAGAAAAAACCGTAACACACAAGGACAAAAAATTTTCCCCATTTTCAATAGTCGAAACATTTCTTCTTCACAAACGTAATAGCAATACAGAACAGTGAGACCCTTTAGCAATGGACATTTATGGGTTGGCGTTTCTACTCTTCATGAAAGCTTTTAATTCAAGTTAATGCAACCTAACTTTTCCCGAAATCAATTGATTGAACATGTAAGTTACTGAATCAACTAAGCAAACTCCCAAAACATACCAAAATGTTCCCCTAAGTGTTGAGGCTCGTACACAAAAGGTGTTCAAAAATTGTGTCATTCTTAACCAGAACAGCACCCAATGTTGACGAAAACTTGAAACTTTTAGAGTAGATAGTTCAAGAAGAACTCATACCAAATCTAATAGGCAAAAATACCGCAGCCTCAACGACTTTTTTTGCCAAAATGGTTGGTTTAAAATCAAGCTGCCCTCAGATCAGGGGCGGATTTAAGGGGGTGCGTCCAATATTCACTTATTTTGAGAGGGAAGCGCGCGCCAAAGAAACGCAATTTTTCTGGTCAAAATCTTCAAAAAATTTCTAAAAACGCCTTTTTGGCCTGTTTTTTCAAAAATTTGCCTGCGTTGCAGTAAAATTGGCCAGAAAGGTTCTATTTAGTGCTTTGGTAGAGCTCGAAAATCAAATTAGTCAACTTAAAAAGAAAGGTCGACTCCTCAAGAAAATCCTGGATCCGTGCCTGCCTCAGATCATGATTTGTTTTTAGATTGGTCAAACGAAAAACACTCAAGACTCAGTTAGCAAGCAATAAATTCAACAGGAAAAAGCATCAAGAAAATTAAAAAGCAATTTAATAATTAACAGCAGAAACAGAAAAATACGCTCTTGAACTAGCCTCTGAACAAGGTGCATCCAGTTAGCTTAATGCTTCAACCCCTAGCAGGTATAAGTTCAACCTGAGTATATCTGAACTTAGAGATGACATTCCCTTATGATTTGGGTGGGAGGTGGTCAGCACTCCCCTCACATGTGCTTACGGCGCTTAGTCCAATCTTGCACATGCCCTGCTCGCGCGAAGGGCGGATACACCGAGGTACGGTGTGTTGAAATCAGAGATGTTTTTGCACATCTAATGAACCAGGTTTGCTAGGACGTCGAAGCTGATCCGAAACTTGGGAAGTTACAAGGCTTCAACCACCACTGAATAGGCGGCAAGATTTAGCTGCTCTTTCTTTGACGGCAAGTTTCTCAACACGCATGCCAATGCTTGGCGTAGACTACTTGAAGATGCATATAACTTAACACGAAACAATAAAATAGTCAAAATTTTGACAAAAGAGTAGCTTCTGTTTATTGACTTTCGGATGCATTGGTGGAGCAGCCCACGAAGTTATGCAAACACTACTCTGGCTAGCCAAAAAAAAATTCATTGAAAGAAGCTATGCGGAGGCCATAAACCATATCAGAACAAAGATAGCTTTATGCCTCCCTGGAGCGCAACTCATTGCCTAAGGGGATGCAAATCATTGCGCAAAACAGATTTTTGACAAATCTCTAAGAGTTTTGTAGAGGAGGGACGGTTAAATAGTTTGCAATATTAACGATGTGTTTGATCCTGATTACCCTTGCTATAAACAAGGGTATTGCAATCGAGTACTAGGCTTTTTGTTCCCGTGAACAACTTTGTCCACATGATCTTCACTTCTAGAGGATAAATTCTAAAGGATCTTTCATCTGACATGCTCAATTTCTTGAAAATTCAAATTAAAGTTATACCATTTAGCTGGTAATTAGTTCAAGCCCGTTGCAGGTGGTAATTATCTTTTTTGGAAAAAATTATCATTTTTTTGAGTTCTTCGTTTTCGTTCTAGTTTCTGTGGGTTCAGTTTCCGTTTTTAAGAGTAATGAACGCAGTGAAGACTCTTTAGGTTTTGCTGATTTTTTTTTTTCAGGAAAGCGTCTTAAAATATTGATGCACTTAGGTATATCTGCACTTTTTTAGTTCAATTGAAATTCATCTGCTAAAAGGGACGCAAATAGCACTCTCCAAATACAAACGTGCAATTGGCGCAAAAATTCGCGAGCAATTTCTAGTTTCGAAAGTGGAATTTAACTTTTATTTTTCCAGCGTAATAAAAACGTTACCTGTTGATCCAGTTCTCTCAAGTTAGGTTAATGTTATCAAAAAAGTGCCAATCATTAATCGTTCTGGAAATTCAAAGGGCTCAAAGGGTATCTTTTTTTTTCTTTGAAGTTCGAAAGTTGAGACTTTTTCTGCAGTCAATGTTTTTTAATGTTTACTTGTGTTCATTTTTTCCCCAATCTTCGATTGGCTATGTTTTTTATCTGGTAGGGTTTTTATTAGTTTACAAAGCATAGGTTTTCTTCCAATTTAATCAGTTTTCACTTTAACTGAAACTTCACAAATTTATAAGGTTACAATGTCTGATTTTGTCTGAATACATCCGTTTGGGATTATAGGTTTCAGTTTGGTTGGGTCGTAAAAGCTTTCAAGTTTAATGAAATTTTTTATGACAACAGTTTTTTTTGGCTCAACAATTTTCGTCCCAAAGTTTGTCGCCTTAGTTGCCGCTCGGTAAATGATTTCCATTTTTTAGGGTTGTTTATGAACTCTATCTAGTACAGATATGAAGTTTTTGTAGCTGTAATTTTTCAACTTCAGTCAGGTTATTTTATTTCAGAATTGTTTCCAATATAGTTTTTCAGAAAGTTTTTTTGGCTTCTGTCTTGTTTTTTTTTCATTCACTATTTTATAGCGCAATGTTTTTTTTTGCATCGCAAGTGTTGCGAAGCTCCGCTTCGCCTCTGTGTATGTTTTTTTTTCATGATATACAATTTTTCATGTGTTAAGATAGTTCTGGAATGGTCTGGCCCTAAACAGCTTGTAACCGGACCATACCTAGCGGAAGCGTCTCTTCTGCGATTTGTTTTTTTTTATAAGTTGTGACCTTAAAAATTAGATACTAGTTTCCTATTAACCATGTAGTAGTTTCCTAACAATTTCTCTTGTGTCGCAATCGAAGCTCCGCTGCGCATCTGATCATTTTTGGCATCTGAATCAATTGGCAGTTCTTCGAAAACGTTACAGTTTATGCCTCAATTTGGGATTGTGTCTCACTTGCTTCGCAAGTTACTCAGTTCAATCACAGATTTTCAAATTATAATTTACTTTTTCCCCTTCAATTTTTTGAACTATTTTGTACAAAAGTTGTCATCATTAAGTATCAATGAATTCATGGTATCACACCCGCAACTTTTAAGATTGTTTGCTGTTATCATTTTCCTTTCTTCATTAATTTTGTATTGCAAGTGGCTCATAGCTCTGCTTCGCCTGTGTGTAATAATGTAAATATCGTCGCTGGTAGAGTTTTAGCCTGGTTTTGGTGTTTCGCAAATTTTCTAACGTTCCCAATCATCTGTGTAGTTAGTTACGTAAGCTTGATTGCGAGCGTAGTGTTATATTACAAATCCACGTTTTTCCAACCAATTAAAAGTGCTCTTTGCCGCATCTTGCTCTTTTCAACCGACGATAGCGCAGATGCCAGGATGTGTGACTCTTAATCTCGAGTTTGGCGTTCAATTTCGGCGCATGCCAGAAATGTTATTTTCATGGCTTATTTTTAACTTTTTGGGCTACTGCCGTTTTATCTTGCGTTTGAGAGAGACATCTTTGCCTCTGTGTGGTTACATGTCTTTATTTTGGTTTTTTTTAACAGAAGAGCAACTGACTCGATGCGTGGAAGTGACGTGGCCATCAAGCGTCTCAACCAGCCATTCCAACATCCAGAGACAGCCAAGAGAGCATTGCGCGAACTGAGATTGTTGAAGTTCTTTCAAGATCATGAAAATCTGCTCACGGTGGTGGATGCTTTCAGTAGCGCAGAAACGAAAGAGGATATGGATGATCTGTTAGTTCTGTTACTTCTGTTACACATACTTTCGGTAATGCCATCAAAGTTATGAATTTTCTGGGTCATCCCTAAAAATGTTTACTTTTTGATAGCGTTCTCCATTTAAAGGTGATGTTTTAAAAATATGTCGTTTTTGTGTGGTCCAACAACTAGATATATTTCGAAGAGAAAAAAAGCCGATTTTGCTCTTCCATAATATTTCATGCTCGTTTGCAGTTTTGACTTTAATCTGATTTGAAAAAGCAAGCCTCCAACCCAAACGCAAAGAAATCACATTTCTGTTCAAAAAATCCAACTTCCACTGAGTTTCGAGCACCTGTCAGTTGAGTAGCTTTAACATGGTCTTTAAATGCTAAAGTCCGAAAGTTTACTTTTCGCGGTTTGACTTTTGTTTCTTTTCAATTTCAGTTCATTTCCTTTTTAAAACGATGTCCAAATCTACTATCGAACTGTAAAAGTTTATAAGTCACAAACAACCTGATCGACTTCTTGTTTCCAAAGTGGGTTTTAATTTTTTAATTTCCCATTGGAAAAAAAATTATCGATTGATACAGTTTTATCAAATTAGTTTGGTTTTATCAAAATGCTGTCAATCACAAGTTGTTCTTCGAAGCACAAATGTCAAAACCCAAATTTCAAAACCAACGTCACCACAAATTCGAAGAGCTATACGGGCTTTTATGATATTATTTATTTGAAATTCAAAAGATCAAAAAACAAGTCAGTAATTCGAATGTTTAAACAGAAAGTCGGTATTTTTAGCTGTTTCTTTGTGTTTCTTGACACTTTTCAACTGTTTGTTGGCTATGTTTTAGATATTTTGTCACAGTGCTGATGCAAGCAGACCTGAACAATGTGTTGAGATCAGATGAGATGCTGTCTGCAGAGCACGTCATGTTTTTCCTCTACCAGATCATCAGGGGGCTGAAGTTCCTGCATTCGGCTGGCATTATACACAGAGTCAGTCTTACCCCATTCATCGGCCGATAAAATATTTACAGTTTTAAAATTTAACTCTTCTTCAGGACCTCAAACCAGCTAACATAGCGGTCAATGAAGATTCAATGTTGAAGGTAAGACTATTGCATTTATAAATTTTAACCATTAATGCCAAAATCTGCATCGAGTTTTTCTTGAATAATAGTTAATAACGAATTGCTGGGTTGGAATGTTCAAAACATGCCTAGTTTAGAACACGCTTTTTACCGTGTTCAAAACGGCGTCGAGTCAACTCGGATAGAGATAACTCAGTCACGTTGATTTTAAGGAGCGACCGCTGCCCTTTCTTTCGGCCCGAGTGGTATAGTGCTTGTGATTCGATTCCCAGTCATTTAATTTTCTTAAGAATTTCAAATTGATAGTAGTTGTTTTATATTAGTCTGAATCAGCTTTGGATGAGTTGTCTCCTCTTTTAGCCGAGTTCTCCTAATTTAAATTTAGCCGAATTGTCTCAATCTTAGATCACTGAGCATGATGTGAAACAGGACGATTTCGCGATTCAAGCAGTCAACCCTCATTGGCTAACTTTTTCTATTGCCTCTTATCCCCTATTTTCAACTTTCTAACTCTGAAAGATATTGATATTCTAGGCTCAAGACGAAAAATGTATTTCACCTGTGGCCAATTTTCTGCACAGTTAATGGGGTTTAACAATTGCCTATTTTTGCGCGTTAATTACGTGTTTTTTAATCGCGAAGCGTCCGGAAGAAAAAAATTCGGATCAAAAATTATCCAAATTCGAATTGAGGCAAGATATTTGTACGAGAAATAACGCGTTGCTAGTTTGAAAAAATGAAAGCGAAAACCATTTCAAAATTTACGTTTTCACAAAATTCACTTTTAGGGCTCTGGTTTTTTGTGAGCTTTATAAAAATCTGTTATTAGATAATCGACTATGGTTTATCGCGGACTATCTCAGCTGACTTGACTGGGTACGTGGTCACAAGGTACTACAGGGCTCCAGAGGTCATGTACGATTTCGAGCACTACGACGAAAAAGGTAAGCCTGTCAATAAAAAATGGTTTAGCCTGGGTTAGCATGTTTAAAACAGGAAGGATAAAAATATGATTTAAAACGTATTCAGTGAAAATATTGATGGCACTTTTCCTCAAAAAACCCGAAAAAAAATAACCCGACTTATATTAGTGTTGATTTTTAGAGCAAAACAGCGAAAGAAAAACGTGAATGAATTTATTTTGGAAGGGAAATTTGGTATTTCAGTTTTCCAGCAGAAAAAATGTTAACACAAGCAATGCTTGTGTTATACTATGAGCTATCTTTTTTTTCCAACCTAAGTCGCAATTATTGTTGCGACGCAAATATTGTTGCGATAAGATGTGTTCATTTTGAAAGTGTTCATTTTGACCAATAACCAGCTAGTGAGTGCAGCCAATGCTAAGGATTTTAACACAGACTATTATTGTTCCGACATGATAAGCGGAGATTTAATCAGTCATAGAAATCGTTCCAAGTTGGTTAAAGGAAGCTTATTTGCCATAAATGATATTATTTGCCATTTGTTACTAGAAGTGAAATGTATCACTTGTACTTGATATGGCGTGTAGGGGCGGATTTAAAAAAAATTCATTTTGTTTTTGTTTCATTTAACTTTTTCATGTTATTACTGCTCCATAGAGTGCCCTGTAATTTGAGGCATGTTAGTTGGTATTTTTTTTTTTCAAATTGACTGGTAGGTACTGCTAATGCGTTATAGTTGGCGTGCGTCACTTGAGAAATTTTGTAGACTCAAAGTTTTACTCAATCAGTTTTTCACAGAAGCGTTATCGGTCATATTTTTGCTTGTGTATGCTTAGTGCAACTTCGCCTCTGTGTTAATATTTGTCCTGATTTCACAAATTGGGTTAATGTTATAAAAATGTGTGAAAACTTTTCACAAATTTTCATACAATCATTACACAAACCAAGCGTAGTGCCATATTACGAGCTGTACTTTTTTCAAATTGAAGTCGCCAATAAAGGTGACAATAATATTAGCATAGCATTATAATTTTGCAACCGGTTTATTGGTGGCTTGTATTAATCGATAATTAAGCCGTCAAGTCGAAGATGCTAGTTGTTTGATTCTTATCGCGAAGTCGGGGTTCGATTCAACCACATCATTTTTACACAAGCAAAGCTTGTGTGATTTAATTTAGTTTTATCTTTTTCCTGTTTTTGATTTTTAGAGCTAGTTTTGCTGTTTTGTCGCTTGTGTTTGCGATGTCGCAGCTTCGTCTCTTTGGGAAAGATTTTTGAAAGGCAAAGAAATTAAACGTGATATATTTTTTTCCATAATTCAGATGTTGAAAAATCAAAAATAAGTCAATCATTTTTTTGAAGAATCGATAAACACAGATTTTTTAGGCATTAAATTTATTCAGGCAGAAATTTACTTTTTCCCTGTTTGAATTTTTGATTTTTTTCAGTTCAGTTCATTTTTTTGTTTTTTGAATTTTTGATTTTTTTTGTTTGAATTTTTGATTTTTTTATCCAGTTTTCTCAAATTGGGCTAATTTTATCAAAAAATTGTCTATCATAAAATTTTCTAGAATTTCGAAGAGCTTAAAGGCCATCTTTTTTGCTTCAATTTTCGAAAGTCTGAATTTTTTTCAAAAAAAAAAACAATTTAGTTTTTTTGTTTGCTTGCGTTCATTGACTTTTTTCCAACTGTCTTTTGGCTATTTGGTTTGTTTCATCAAACTTTGTGAAGACGCTTACATATGTCGTGTTGAGTCTTTTCGTTTTTTTTTTTCAGGAAAAAGTCTTCAAAGTTATTCACTCTCAAATGGGGTTTTTCGTGGTTTGATTTTTAATTTTTTTAAAGTTCTTGCTAAATTACGTTTTCATATCATATAAGTAGAATTTGAGCGAAACAAAAACGCGAATGAGTTTGTTTTGAAAGGGCATTCTCATTTAAATTCCCAACAGTATAAAAAAATAAGTCTAAAAATTTTGTTTTTGGTCTCGTTGAGTTAGTGATATTTTTCCAACTGTCTGTTGGCCGCTTTTTTATGGTTCAATGATTTAAGTGAAGACACTTATATAGGTCATATTGAATTTTTCGTTTGTTTTTTTTCCGGGTTGAAATTCGATTTTTTTGCGGCGTGTTTGATTTAATTTCAAGTTCATTCGCTGTAACTAAGATAAATTACGCTCTCTGATAAACAAATAATGAAATGGCCTTAAAAAGTTCGATTCGTTTTTGGATTTTAGTCGTTAAATTTCCAAGCGGTATATATATATTTTTTCAAATATGATAAGTTTGATGAAAAATGTGCTTATCACAAAAGATTCATGAAATTCAAAATCTTTGACTCCATATACTTTTTTTTCGAAAATTGAAAAAAATCAAAAAATCATTGACCTTTTTCGAGTTGTATGTTGGCCATGTTTTGAAAATGTTGTCGACTTTTTTTAGGTCGACCAAACTGATTTTTCTGAGGAAAATTTCGACCAAAAAATCGTTTTTTTTCGGCGCGCGCTCCCCCCTGAAAATTAGTATATAGATTGGCGCCTTTAGAAAAATTTTAAGACCAGTCAGCCAAAACTGGATATCTCAAAATAGTACAAAGGGGGGACCTTTTGGGTCGGCAGGGGGTCGAATCCCTGAGGGGGGGGGGCATGGTCACGATATTTACAGTTATTCTGTTTTGCTATTCCAACAAATGAGGTGTTGAAAATGCCATGAAACTGTCATCTTGTATGAATGTGTTGTATCAAAGTTGGTTTGAATAGATGTTTCAATTCATTTTTTGATAGCTGTTGTTTTTGTTTTAAATACGTTCTTTTGAAATAACGGTATTTTTGGGCCTGGAAATAATTACAATTAACCAAAATTATTTTGATCATCGTTTTCCATTTTCACATTGCGAAAGGTTAGAGAGATCCATCGACTTTTCGACGAACAAGCAGAGACCGCAGCCGGTTCACGGTTGCTCTGTTTTTAGTTGATGTCTGGTCTGTGGGATGCATCTTTGCGGAGATGTTGACGGGCGAGACTCTGTTCCCGGCCGAGGACCACGTGGACCTACTGAACAGAATAGTTAAGCTATGCGGGAAGCCCTCTACGGAGGAGATAAGCGACTACATTTCCGAAGATGTAAGGCAACACAAAGTCCACTTTTGTTTTCTTTTGAGGTGGCCTTCCATTACGTATACACTCATTTCGTATTCTTTTTGAGTTCGTTCCGGTCGAGCTGTACAAGACAGCGGACTGGGGTTAGTTTTATCAAAAATTTGTCAATCGTGTATTCTTTAAAAAAAATTAGGTACATTTTTGTTGAAATCGTATTAAAAATTGTTCACTTTCGTTTTTTGTTTATTAGTACTGTACAACGTTGTTTGTTATGTTTTAGATTCGTGAATATTTGGTTAGAATGGAATGTGTCCAATCAAATTTCGACGATCACTTCAGTCATGTCAAAGACAAGCTAGGTAGGTTGGAGTTCAATTAATAAGTTTTCATAAGCATCAGTGCTTCGATTGCTTGAAGAGGGATCAAAATTGAACGAAAATACTATCTCGCTCCTTAACTGCTGGAGTTAAATTCATGAACTGTTGATATTCATAATATAAGCTCCTTTTAAACAGTTTGATCACTTTTCAATATACAGTTCGCGCAAAACATACTACAATTGATGATCTGGCTGAAGTAGCTGAGTTGATTAGACATGAAAAACCAGCAGAGAAAAGTTTCTCGAATAAAACTTATTTACACAAGCAATCGTAGTGTGATACTACAGTGCTGATTTAAATTATCCGGACAAATCGACCAAAACTTGAAGTTTCAAACGCGTTGTTCTCAAACTGGGTTAAGATTAGACAAAAAGTGAAGAGAACAAAAGTTGCTTAGAATTTCACCAGAACTAATATGGTGCCATTTTTTCTCCGAAATTCTCAACAAAAATTTTAACCCAAAAATTGGTCATTTTGGCTTTTTTCAATTAATCAAGAATTACGCTGAAACTATTTTGTTAATCGATAAGAAAAGTATATCACAGGAAGCCTATCACGCAGCTCAACAAAGTTTAAGAAGGATTAAATCTCCAAAAACAAGTATAAGAGAAAAAATTTTCACTCGATAGTCAATAAATGTGATTTTTACAATATAAAACCCAGAATCTTTGTTAAAAACATATTTTAAGCAATTTGCGCAATTTTTTGGAGATTTAACCCCTCTTAAACTTTGTTGAGCTGCGTAATAGGCTTCCTGTGATATACTTTTCTTATCGATTAACAAAACAGTTTCAGCGTAATTCTTGATTAATTGAAAAAAGCCAAAATGACCCATTTTTGGGGTAAAATGTTTGTTGAGAATTTCGGAGAAAAAATGGCACCATATTAATTCTGGTGAAATTCTAAGCAACTTTTGTTCTCTTCACTTTTTGTCTAGTCTTAACCCAATTTGAGAAAAACGCGTTTGAAAATTGAAGCTTTGTTCGTTTTGTCCGGATAATTTAAATCAGCACTGTACAAGGCTACTTTTTTCCAGCCTCCGTCGGAAATATTAGTGCTACTCTCGTTTGGTGGCACTTGCTTGGCGTAACACTCGAGATAAATAGTAGATTAACACAATTATTTTTCATTAATCGGATGAATCGAAAAAAGCTATTTGTTTCATAAAGCAGTACAATAGTAAATACATATCAAAAAATTTCCAACTCAATATAGTTCCTTTTTCTGGTGTTCCTTTTTTGCTGATGACAATAACAAAAGGGAATTAGGTTGTAGTGTTCCAAATATATAATCTGATCTTATATTTCAAGTGGTTGCTTAAATGACAATCAACTTGTGTTTAATTTCGATAAGAATATAAATTAATTTATGAAAAAGTACTTCAATCATTTTGAAACGGAAATCGACCATTTAAAACTGATTCTTGCTACAAGTATCTTAAGATTATAATCGATTTAAATTTATCAATTCAAGCTCCAGTTATAGTAGTAGTAAAAGACTTCAATTACCCAAAAATGAGTTACAAATACATTTTGAGAAAATTCGTTAAAAATAACAATATTATAAAAATAGATTTTAAGTGAACAAATAAGTGGCAAAATTATCATGGCTTAAGCAACGCAAAAGCAGCAACAGCACCTCAAGTGCCAAGTTCAAGTAAAGCTATGCGGCAAAAATTCAAGGTTCTTAAATCATTGAAATATGTGTCTCGGAAAAACTTCCTCGTGATTTGGTGCATTTTGTAAGCGTCGTTTTTTGGTACCTGGATGTCCTCTGATGAGCTATTATGAATCGAGTGTTTATCCCCGAATTCAAATTTTCGTTCTCTTTTACGTAGCTAATGTTGCTCCTCACTCCCGCAGATTCTTTGTTTCCGAAAAAATTGAAAAAATCTTTCTCAGAAAGTTGTTGAATTAGTTATGTCTGTCCTCAGATGAAAAAGTTCATTCGGAGAGTTTTCTGTTTGTGAACTTCTAGTTGTTCCAAATCTTAGCTTTATCGCCAGACGATACTAAAAACTTTCATACGAAAGTGGGTAACTCATCTACTTCGTACGGAGCTACCAAGTTATTTGCCAACCTGATTTCTAACGGTTTGTTACCCCTGTACCCTTTATATGATCAGAAATTGTTTTTCTTCCCATACGTGCACAATTTTTTGGAGTATTTATCTATGAACTACATGATGTTTATTCCTAGCTCTTCATTGCCTAGAGGTTACGAACCCGGTTTTTGGAAAAGTGATTTATTGGTTACTAAGATAAATTTCCGGGCTATCGATGACGGTTGTGGAGGGTTGCGGCGCAAAAAAGGAAGGGCAAAGTACTTTAAACTCGGTGTTTCGATTTTGTTTACTTGCCGGAAGTTACGTTGGTTAATCTTGTCTTAGTTAAGGTTTGCTCGTAGTTGCGAGTTTTTCGCGTCGCCAAAATTAAATCATTTTAGTTTTCATTGAAGGTAGATTTAGATCATATCTCGTTATTTAGAGTCGATGAACATAGTTCACACTTTCATCTAGGTCGTGATGAACTTTTTCGGGAAAAATCTCTAGTTTCAAAAGTGGAATTTGATTTTCAGAACTCCCATCGGAACACAAACTCAACTTATTGAGGCAGTTTTCTCAAATTGAGTGAAATTCATCATTAAATTGTCAATTATAAATTGTTCTTGAAGATTAAAGAGCTGTTAAGCCATAAATTTTTTTAAACTCTGAATTCAAAAAACAAATCAAATTTTCTTTTTGTTTCTTGCATTCATTGCTTTTTTTCAACTGTCTGTTGAATTTTATACCCCTTCCAATGGTTTAATAAGTGTGTTAATTTATTATCTCATTTATACTCGTGAATAAATTAATTCTTGCTCTGCAAATCAAATGTAATTTGAGAATGTACTAGTTGCTGAGCAGCAGTACCAACAATCACTACAACTATGTTAATCGGTCGGTCGAACCGCTAGTCTTGAAGGCTTCATGAAAACTGCAGATCTAAACGTTTTGACTCTATGAAAGTCTTCAATTTTATCTATTGTAATGGTTTTAGCACTGGATCTTCTGAAACGCATGTTAGTGATCAACCCTAAAAAAAGGTTTTCTGTGGAAGATTGTCTGAAGCACTCCTACTTTGAATCTCTGCATGATGAAGAGGACGAGCCCAGGTGTGAAGCACCCTTCCACTGCTCAGACTTCGAGGGCAAAAGTCTCACCGTGGATCAGTACAAAGAATTAATCTGGCAAGATTTGCTCGCATTCCAGTCTTGATCCCGGACGGTAGAAAACTGATCTCGGTTGATTGCTAATAATTTGCTCGAATCTATTCCTACACAAAGCTCTGTCAGATGCAATTATGATATTTTAGTTATGAGAGTTTGATATTTAACTGAATTTTTTGGATGTAAAATGTCAAAAAAAATAATGGCACTGTAAAACGACCGTTAATGTCATCTTAGAAGTTAGTAAAGCTTAATTTCACACAATTTGAATCAAATCAAGATGAAATGCAATCTTTTTGCGCTACAAAATTGAAAATACCTGCTACTTACTGTAGACATACTAATGCTGATGATGAGGATAATTCATTCCATTTCTATGCATTTTTTCATATATCTTGTTGCATGATAGAATGAAAATGTTATGTCCGAATAAATATGAATATACCGTTTTCAACTGTTTTTGTCTTTTCTCATGTTAGTTGTAGAAATTGTAAATCAGAAGAGATATTTTCATGTGACTACCTGCCGTTTGGGATGGAAAAACTCATTAAATGGCCAAATTACCTCATCTCAGGAAAACTCAAATTTTGTACCTAAACTGTCTAAAATGTTTGTTTTTGGCTTACTATGTAATTTACGTGGAGCAAAATTTCGGGCAAATATAGATAACAACAGAAAGAGCTGGTTGCTGTGCAAGTTGCACAGAATGTTCCGACAACATTCATAAAAATACTGCCAATAATTTTCTGTAATGTTTTTTTTTTGTGCGTGTTGTGATCAGACATGTATACAAACGCGTTGAAACGTAGGCATTTCGAACCAATTTTTGTTTTTTAATGTTTGAATCACGAATGAAAGGACTTAAGTATGATGGATCATTCGAGCCATTCCATAATTTGTAGTACCGGATTTTGTTTGGAAAGCAAAAAACAAACCCACTCAAATGCAGCATTCCTCTTGCAATTTTCGGAACAATAGGGTTTGACTGTTTCATCTCTAAAACCTGCTAGTAGCACATTGTTCCGACTACATTCATAAAAATATACAAGAAAGTGATTTAGTTTTTTTTTCTTCAAATTAGTGTCGTTTTAGTTCGTGGTGTGATAAAAGAGCTATACAAATGCGTATAAAGTAGAGAACTTAAATATAATTGACCAAATTTGTTTTCAAAAATTGTAAGACCTACAAAAAATGGAAAAAAAAATTAAATTCTTATTTTTCTTGCTCGTGAATGCTTACAATCATAAGAAAACCTTTATTGCCAAGGAACCTTTATTGCCAAGCAAGACTCTTTTATAGGTCTTGCTTTTTTTCAGGAAAAAGTCTCAAAATGTGCATGAAAGTATCTAATAACTACAGATGTCCATTCATTCATATTGATGCATTTATGAATGCACTTAGGTATATGTGCACTTTTTGAGTTCAATTGAAATTCATCTGCTGAAAGTGACATCAATAGGATTGTCCAAATACGAACGTGGAAACGGCGCGAAAAAACGAACGATTTCTAGGTTCGAACGTGGAATTTAATTTTTAGATTTCCAGCTGAATAAAGACTTTACCTGTTGATCCAGTTTTCTCATGTTGGGTTAATGTTTTCAAAAAAGCGTCAATGATAGATTGTTCTTGAAATTCAAAGAGTTTAAAGGGCATCTTTTTTTCTTCGAAATTTGAAAGTTATTTGATATTTTTTCAACGAAGTCAGTTTTTTTGTTTACTTGCGTTCATTACTCTTTTCCAATCTTTGACTGTCTTTATTTTTTATATTAAAATAAGGTTTTTTCTAGCCTAAAAGTTTAAATAAAAGCTAAGTTTTCATAAATCTAGGGTTACTCGATCGCTTTACTTGCTCGAAATTGACGTAAAACTCAAAAATTGTCAATCCGTTTTTCTTGAAACTTGGACAATTTTTAAAATTTCTTATTGTGTTTCGAATAACGACTGAAACGGCTTTGTTATAATATATCTTTTGACCCATTCAGATGATTATTTGTGATAGATGACTTCCTGTGGAAAACAATAAAAACTAAAACACGCTCTATCACAAAGTTCCTCCCATTTTCAATTGTCGGATGGATAAAATGTTTTGTTAGCGAGAATCTTAGATATTTCCAATTGTGGGTTCAAACTGGTGTCCATTTGTATCCCAAGCACTGCCCAATCGCTTCTATCACCAATATTTTTCCCCGTTTCTGTTCTTAACCATAGTTGTCACTTATCATGGGAGTGATCCTTTGTTATCTTTTCAACTTGATGTTTTTTTTTCAACATGATGTTTGAAATACGGAAGTTGAAAATAATCAAATCGGAATATAGACTTTTTTTTGGTCTATAAGTTTAACATATAGACGACAAGTTTAACAAAATCAGTCAAATCACTATGCTTCAGTTTTTGCTGATATGCTGGTGAAATGCTCGATTTCATACAACTTCAAATTTAACTACTGGGTACTAATTTCTACTGATTTATGCTATATATAGAACGCAAACCATTGTTTTTATAAACATATAGCTTCGATAATAATTTACTGCTGATGATTTTGGTTCATGGTTGTCGACCAAAGCTCGGTGAGTTTATTTTCTAATTTCTCTAGTCCACTTTACATACTCTACTTAAATAGCTATCGTGATTCCTATGTGGGCGTTAAATGCAATTTTGTACAAGATGATTTTTTGACGAAATATTTGGCTGAGTATCAGCTTATTGACTGACGGCTTTAATTTGGTCGGCCTATTTATCGATCTCTCCCCTTAAAATGTCAGTTAGTACTCTTGAGATCGATAACACTCTGTCACCAATTTTGAATGCTCAAAGTCAACCGCACTCGGACCTCTTGAAAATTTTTAATTAATTTAAACATGAAACAATATTTTTTCAAAACATTTTCCCTTCGAAGTTCTGTTAGCTATTTATTGAGCGTCATGGTACTCATGAAACTCCCCTGTATTATCAGTCATTCACGGTTAAATTTACACAAAAATTTATCGGCCTTAGAAAAGTCAATTTTTTGAGTGTTTTTTTTCTAAATTATGATTTTCACCAAAAAATACCCTGGCATATCTAATGTTTTTTAGTTCAGTCCAAAGAATGGGTTGTGGGAAGTTCCTCTGCATACGCGATTACGTCTTATTTTTTTTTTGACACAATATTATGGTGCTCGGAAAAGTCAAATTTTTTTTTCGTTTGAAATTTCTTGACTTTTCTCGAGAACTTCCTTGCCAAAACCTAGGATTTTGGGTTCACTCAAAATAACAGATTGGGTAAATTTATTTCGCATAAGTGGTTACGGCCAATTGTCTTCAAATAAAAAGTTATGATTTTCCGGAAATGTCAATTTTCTGATTTTTTAACAGTTTGGTGGACTGTTCTCGATAACTATCCTGCCAAATCTGATATCATAGGTTCAATCGGCACAACAGATTTTCCTTATAATTTCATTGCAAAGGAATTTCCCACAACCCATTCTATGCAAAGGAACATCACACAACCCATTCTTTGGACTGAACTAAAAAACATTAGATATGCGAGGGTTTTTTTGGTGAAAAGTAATTTTTTTGAAGATTTGACAGTTTTTAAGAAGTTTTCTGAATGTTCTTAAAAAAGTTACCCGTTCAATCGAAAGAAGAATTTGCGCGAATTTTCCCTGCAGAAGTGGCCACTCCTTAATTTTTACTAAAAGAATTGCTATGTTTTTTGGAAAGTTCCAAATTCTGAAAATTTTTCACTTTTCTAACTTACTTTAGTAGAGAAACAATTAAGGTTTTGGGCAAAGTCAAATTTTTGAAATAACGCATTTCGTCCCGCATCAGTATAACAAATTCAAAGAACATCAAACACGTGCCTCCAGCTTTAGCTGACCCCTATATGTCCTTCGAGATATGCGAAACTTTTGGTTTACCTTGTTTTTGTCAACATTTTTTTTTTACGATTGAGTTGTTTTTAATCAAAACGTTGTAAAATTTTTTAAGCCAAGTGGTTAACAGTGGTGTATCGAAAAATGAAGTCGTTGCTAGACATTTTTGTGCGTTTTTTTTGGCTCCTACGTTTTCGTTGGAGTTTGCTAGTGCGCTGGCTTGACCTATGAAGAGGTCTTTTGTTTGTTTAAATGAGTGCTAAAAAGTCTGAGAAAGTCATGTTAAAAAGCATAGATCTTTGCCTTAATTCGAACTTCTTTTCTAAAATAGAACAGTCGTGCCCGCTGCTTTCACGTACAATGGACGCAAAAGTTTTTTTCGTAAACATTTTTACAAATCTGCAAGAAAATAAGCGTGATTTAATATGGAACCTGGACATCATCGAGGCTCCGACTCGCTTGGTCTGTTCGCAACGCTCGTACATTGGAATCATAAGGTCTGATAGTCAAGTTCCGGCGGGACATTTTTTTTGATACATTTTGTTTTTATTTTGGAAAGTTTGATTAGTCGGACGAATTTCTATGTAACTGTGATGATATTGATGATCTGAGAAATCATAGCTGCTAGAACTAAGTATGAAACTTGAAGAAAATAAATTTTCGAACATACCTGATCTGTTGAAGCGTATTTAATTGGTTCAGAAGGGATTCTATTTGTGTTGCTGTCTCTTTTTTATCAGTTGAATTTAATCAACTTTCAAAATGTGTCAACTATGATAAATTCTCATGATATTAATCAATCCTATCTATGATTGCGATGCTCTATCGGCCGATTGTATTTTTGCTAAAAAGTTACTAGCAATAGGAACACGTGAACCAAAAAGATGTTTTTCCCTAATGAAATCTTGTTTTTATTTATACTTTTCCCACCGATAACAACTTAAAAAAAACCAACTAAATTTAAGGTCTATCACTAGCTTCGATACAGAATAAATCTCTTGCCTTGCACCGATCCACAACAGTAACGCTGTTTATTGTGTTTTGCATCTGCGTTTCCCTGAAATTGAACATCTGCGGGCTAAATTATTTTCCTAGGTGTAGTTTTCAAGTATCTTTTTTGACTTAGCGATTCCGTCTCATTTTTTGTTCTCAGGTTTTTCTCAAGAAGTTTCGTTTGGTGAAAATTTGATTTTTTTTTGTTGTGTTGACAGTTTTCTTGTTGACTCGTGCATTCATTTCGAACAAAGTACCGACACCCTCAAAGAGTGGGAAGGAACTAGGGGCTATAGTGGGTTTTTTGTCATGCAAAGTCAAATACTTGCAAAGGATACTTAGCAAAGGATGGTTGCAAAGCTCCAAATGTGGTATTAAAATGAAGCCTGTTGAGTCGCTTTTCGGATTTTAAAAATGTTTTTGAAGTTTTTTCTCGATATTGGACAAAACTGGTCTGCTTAGATCTGTTTTTGTCAGCAGGGATTCTTGTTTGTTGTTGAAAGATGTTTCAAGTGCACAAGCGAGGCTTGTGTTATAAAAGCAGCTCCCTTTTTTCCAATGTACGTCTCATTTTTTGTGCTTAATTATTAATTTGTTTATCAGAGAGCTTAGTTTTGTATTCACTCAATTAAAGCACGTTCTCTGTTGCTTGATTTTTACTATTAATTTTTGTTCGAAAGGGATATAACCAGCAGCAGTGGCTTTGTGGTTGTTTTCATCTAAAACGGGTTTATTTATCTTAACAAAATTTTTATTTGATAAACTTATCGAGGACAGATTGGTCTTCTTTTCGATTAAGATGGTTTTTTGTTTTAAATGGAGTAATCAGCAGTTTTGTCTGATTCATCCAATAGTATCATGTTTTTCTTTGTATTCTTTTGTTATGATTTTTTGTTATGAATTTTCGTGTTGTGAAGCTCCTCGTCGCCTCTTAATTGGTCATGCTCCCGAGATCAATGAGCAGATCAGTAAAATTTGAACTTAAATCTTTTCAGTCAGTTTTTTCAACCGACTTTCACAAAATTGTTAAACCGCTTTTTAAAAACTTCTGGTGAATATCTTCAGTTATTGGTTTAATACTAAGCGAGTGGATGATTTCTGAAGTCGGATTTTTTCTTCAACTGCTAGCTCTTCCGTTGTCGTCCCAATTGCCTACTGCGCATCATAAAAGCTCTGCGCTAACATCATGTGTTGGTTCCTGATTACACCGAAGACTTTAGTCAAGGTGTTATGGTATCGTGTAACGGGTTTTTTTTTTTTAATGTTGTCTGTTGTCAAGTGTCGACAAATAACGTCCACAGTTATCAATTATCATGTGGGCTGGACTACATCGCGCTATGTCACGTGATTGCGTATGTTTGTTTCTTTATTTGTTCATCTTTATTTATTTAATTATCTGTTCTTCTATTTATTTAATTATGTTTAGTTTGCTTATATTTATTTTTAATTTATGTATGTACATATTTATTTTTGTTTATTTTTATCACGTGTTTTGTTCATTTATTTAATTATTCTTTCTTTCATTTAGTTTTGCTTTTATTATTTCTGCGTGTGTATTTATTTAATTTATTTATTTTCATTTATTTATATTATGGGTCTGTTTGTTTGGTTATTTGTTCATATATATTTTTTCATGTCTATTTAATTATTTGTACATTTCACTTTTGCTTTTATTTATTTATTTATTTATTTATTTATGTATTTATTTATTTTTTTATGTATTGATTTATTTTTTTATTGCTTATTTATTTATCAGGTGTGTTTTGTTTATTTGTTGATATTTATTTCTATATTTATTTAATTATTCTTTCTTTCATTTAGTTTTGCTTTTATTATTTATGTATGTGTATTTATTTCATTTATTTATTTTCATTTGTTCATATTATGGGTCTGTTTGTTTGGTTATTTGTTCATATATATTTTTTCATGTCTATTTAATTATTTGTACATTTCACTTTTGCTTTTATTTATTTATATATTTATTTATTTATGTATTCATTTATGTATTTATTTATTTATTTATTTATGTATTGATTTATTTTTTTATTGCTTATTTATTTATCAGGTGTGTTTTGTTTTATTATTTATGTATGTGTATTTATTTAATTCATTTAGTTTCATTTATTTATATTATGGGTCTGTTTGTTTGGTTATTTGTTCATGAGATATATATTTTTTCATTTTAATTTAATTATTTGTACATTTCAGTTTTGCGTTTATTTATTTATTTATTTATTTATTTATGTATGTATTTATTTATTTATGTATTGATTTATTTTTTTATTGTTTATTTTTTTATCAGGTGTGTTTTGCTTATTCGTTGATATTTATTGCTATATTTATTTAATTATTTTCTTTCATTTAGTTTTGCTTTTATTTATTATTCATGTATGTATTTATTTATTCATTTATTTATTTATGTTTATTTAGTTTTGGTTTGTTCGTTCATTTGTTGGTTTGTTCGTTCATTTATTTATTTATTTAGTTAGCGTCTTTGTTGTTTGATTGTGAAATTTGATGTTTTACTTCTTAGCTATGTAGTTAAAAGCAAAAAATGATTTTCAATTTATTGTTCTGTTTAGGATATTTTCAGAAAGATCTGTATATCACCAATTAGCGTACAACTATTTACAGGGAACGCTGCCAACGAGATCTGTCCACTTGCTTTTGGGTTGCAGCCACATCAAAAATGATTTTAAATTATTTAAAGATTTATCTATAGTTATATCTGTCCGGTAATTAATTTTCAAATTTGCTTTTGTATTTCTCAAAAAAGAATTTGTTGGAGCGTGGACTCAATAAGGTAAAGCAAAATGTTAAATTTTATGTTACTTCTATTTTCAGTCATGTAATGGAGCCATTTCGACCCACGGGCATTGCAAATGATGACAACAGTTGCTATCTCAATTCTGTTCTTCAGCTTTTGTTGTCAAGCGCTTGCATCAGAGATCGGCTCGGTAGACTTACTGAATTTGACCATGGTGGCGTGTTAATTTCAACTGTGAAAGAGATATTTTGTCAAATGCTGTCCACAGAAAACTTTTTCATCAATGCGTCTACTTCCAAAGTTAAAATTCTCCAGCATCTTGATTTGAATTACAGCTTCTCATATACCTATGGACATCAGCACGATGCTTCCGAGGTACTACTGTCAATTATCAATGCATTTAAATCTGAGGGCCAATGGAATTTCTTTGAAATATCGTATTCAGATAATTTCACGTGTTGTCTGTGTAATGTGTCATGGAGAAGACCTGAAACTACTTCTGCGTTAGTTTTAAGTCCTCCACGCAATGGTCAACTTCTGCAGGAGCTTGTGGTCAATCACTTCGCCAACCAAGCCGTTAATGTAACATGTCCAAATTCCACGTGTATCTCAGAAAGGGCAATAACAACTAAAGAACCAACCCATATTGCAAATACTGTTATTTTGCTGATTGCGCGTTACATGTTTGTCGCTGGCAACCGCGTTTACTCTAGAGCAGAAGTCACAGTACACAGTTATTCTATTTCAACTTTTGTGTATACTTGTATTAGGTACACTGTAGTTTCAATCAACTGGTCTGTGTATACTTGTATTAGGTACACAGTTTTTTTTCAACTGCTGTGTATACTTGTATTAGGTACACTGTAGTTTCAATCAACTGGTCTGTGTATACTTGTATTAGGTACACAGTTTTTCTATTTCAACTGCTGTGTATACTTGTATTAGGTACACTGTAGTTTCAATCAACTGATCGTGTATACTTGTATTAGGTACACAGTTTCTTTAGTTTAACTGATCTGTGTATACTTGTAATATGTACACTGTAGTTTCAATTAACTGGTCTGTGTATACTTGTATTAGGTGTAAAACAGGAGGCGTTTTGCTACACATACAAACACAATCTTTTGTATTTTATTATAGCTATAGAAATTGATCTACAATGCGTAAGTACGACATTTAGTTCTACGATTGTTATTTCAGGTCCTTTGTCAATATTTCAGGCTCTTTGTCAATATAGCAAAATTTTGGTGTATATATGTGTTAGTAAGATTTTTAGTTCTACAACGTTTATTCAGGCTCTTTGTCGATATAGCAAAATATTGGTGTATACATGTGTTAGTACGATTTTAGCTCTAGAATTGTTATTTCAGGCTCTTCGTCAATATAGCAATATTTTAGCGTATACATGTGTTAGTACCATTTTTAGTTCTCGAACTGTTATTTTATGATCTATGTCAATATATCAAAATTTTAGTGTATACATGTGTTATTACGATTTTTAGTTCTCGAACTGTTATTTCATGATCTTTGTCAATATATCAAAATTTTATTGTATACATGTGTTAGTACCATTTTTAGTTCTCGAACTGTTATTCCATGATCTTTGTCAATATAGCAAAATTTTGGTGTATACATGTGTTAGTACGATTTTTAGCTCTAGAACTGTTATTCCATGATCTTTGTCAATATAGCAAAAATTTGACGTATACATGTGTTAGTACGATTTTTAGCTCTCGAACTGTTATTTCATGATCTTTGCCAATATAGTAAAATTTTGGTGTATACATGTGTTAGTACGATTTTTAGTTCTAGAAGTGTTATTTTATGATCTTCGTTGATATATCAAAAATTTAACCTATACATGTGTTAGTACGATTTTTAGTTCTAGAACTGTTATTTCAGGCTCTTTCTCGATATAGCAAAATTTTGGTGTATACATGTATTAGTACGATTTTTTGCTCTAGAACTGTTATTCTTCAATTATTAGTTGTTCAAGTTGTTTGGTTTTTGCTTCAGTTTCTATGCCTTCGGTGTATTGCGCGTAGCGCCTATGTTTTAAGGTAGAAACATAATTGTAAGCGGTTTGATTCGCACCTCAATCTTTTGACAAGCGTTGCTGATTCTCTTCAGAAAAATAATGCTTCTCAACTACTAGCACTCAAGAATTAAGATTGCATGATGGTGTCGCAGCAGAAGACGAAGAAAGAGAAGGAGAAGGCACTGGCCAAGATCCTGGACTCCTCAAATGTCCAGAGCAAAATCAAGGCTCTCAAAATGTGTCTAGGTAATGCCGCAATCAGAGACTGCGCGCACATTTAAAATTATATGATCAAAAAAAGTAATACACTAAGCATAAACACAATTAAGTTTTCACAGTTTTGGTTTCCCATACGGCGTGGTACACTTCGATGACATTAAAGCATTGATGGGAACAGGCTGCTCAGATATTTCACATCTCTCAAAATAATTCAGCCCCGGTGGTCATCTTGATTTAAATAAAGTTTTCAAGCTGATTATGCCTAGGAGGTAATTAGAAAATTTGAGCTGAAAGGGTGTTTTGCGTTGCAGAGACACTGATAGCGGATGAGATGAAAAGGTATCTGTGTGAGAATAACTACGCCTACTTCTATGTCTGGTATGACTACTACACTCTACACGTCGACCCACAGATCAAAAGTAACTTCAAACCTGTTGTACAATTAGAAGTGCACGAAATTGAGCGTTTGCCCAAAATTGAATAAAAAAATTGAGATTTAATTCATGAAGATGACGTTTCCATGGATGTTCATTAGATTTGAAACATGTAATTTCGGGCAGTTAAAGCGCGGCAGTTAGTCCAAAAAATCTGATTCAGATATAACCGTTAGCTACATTATTTGATTTTAACTGCACCTAAATTCTCCTGAATTTGGTTCACAATGACTATGTTATTTTCATACTTTATAAAAACAAAGATCGTCTTGTGAACAATTTTAGATATCGGCCAAAAGACCCTTTCCAAGGACGTGAAAGATGACGTGGAAACATTACTTTTTGTCATTGAGGTACGTTAATTACAACCATTGTTCTATTGAAAAGTCGATTGCCTACGTTTTAGGGATCACGTTTCATATTAAATTATTTACTTGGGGTAACTTTGTAAGTTGAGAAAAATGGTAATGTTCTTGAAGATATCAAATGGTAACTAATCAGCTAGCAAAGAGTAAAAAAAGTGACGCTAACTACTTAAACTGATGTTTATGTTTAGAAATTGATTCATTTGATGCCGGAGAAACTGGCTTCTGGATGGCATTGCAATAGCATTAGTGAGTTTTCCCGAATAGAGAAAAATTGAGAATTTAATATTATAAAAAAAAGAGAATACCCAAGTGAATCTTGTAAAATTTGAAGGATAGAAAGCGGTAAATGGAACACCTGGTTAAAATACCTGATTGCGGTGGTAGTATCACAGAATATTCAAATTGGCATTTTGTTTTTCAAAAATTTGCATGCAGTCCAAAAATTTTGTCTAAATAAGTGGATATTGTTTCGAAAAGTCCATTTGGCATCATAGCTAAATTATGCTTAAAATCATACTAGAAGTTTAAAAGAAGGCATTTTACATTGGTGAAAGGTGGTAAGCACCCTCGAAACTGAATTGAGTTTCTGTTCCCTCACATTGGTTGGAACTCAAAAAACTGAATCTTTTCCCAGGTGCTTTCCTGAAGCGACTGTTGACGCACGACTGCTGCACTAAATACAGATACTCTGGCATCCGTCTGTTCCTCGCGTGGTACCAGGTGGTGAAGGACAAGGCTCCGGCTGACATGGTGTTCCTGTTCTCCACTTTGGTACCTGGATTAGACCAGACCAAACTCACTCCAGATCCCATGCGTGCATCACTAGGAAGTCTGGGTAAGTTATTTTCTTGTAGAAATTTAAAATAGACCCGGAAGCTTTATGGGGTTGGGGATTCCAAACTTGGCGAGTTTCAGCCTATCAGACTTTATTTGGCACACAGAGCTAAGCTATTGTATACTTCTGATTAAGGAAGAGACGAAAATCTTCGCTTGATCTGTTGAGCGGGGGTGGTATTTGGAGCTGGTTCAGGCACGTGCGACAATAGTGTGTTTCTGTAATAAGCGTTTTCCCTCCTTGGTACTGTATAGCCATGGGTCCATCTCATGACCCAAGTCAGTCTACATAAAATTTCGCCGTTTTTGCAGATTGCCTTTTTTCAACAGAAATTTTGCCCTACATAAACGTATTGTCTCATAATCTGCCCCTTTTATTCTCCTACTTTGACGGAATATTCAGTATGCTTGAATAATATTAACTTAAAAGCGAGTACGTTCTTTTTTGCGCAGATGGAGCTAGTGATTACTTTTATATCCTACAAGGAAATAACTGAATTGAGCATGTATTACTTCTTGTGGCTGATTTGGAATACGGCCAAATTGGCTGATCCTACAATCTCGACATAATTAGCATAGATTTCATGCCTGTCAAAGATTGTTTGAACAACGTCGTAGCTTATTGTTTAGCTTTTAAGGTTATAACTTTTAAGGTTGATTACAATGATGTTTTTTCCCATTTTTAACTATTCCCAATGGTGTGCTTTGCAATCCGCAATGTCGATCCCTAATGGTTTTGCAACCTCTAGTATCTTACAACATCTTGCTCATTGTTCCGACTTTCGATACGAAAGTAACGGAATATTTGTGCTCGGGGTGGGTTTTTTTTCTTCAGACAATTTTCGACTTTTTAACTAGCCATTTTTGACGGAACTTTTTTAATATCATTCAAAAGGTATTGTTGTCCTGAGCTTAAATTTGAAAAGATATTTCACCTGTGATAATTTTTCGTAAAGTTATGAGGGTTTAAAGATTGCCATTTTGACCAATTTGGGACAATTAACGCGCGATATAATTCGCGCTATTAACGCGTAAATCCGTCTTATAAATCGTTCCAAATTGGTTGAACGAAGCTTATTTGCCATAATTGATGTGTTACAAGGAACGAAAACTATCTTTTTGTACCTTTATATGGCGTGTGGGGGGATGATTTTCATAAACAATTTCAAATTTTAGAAATTTTTTTTTTCATTTAATTTTATTTCATATATTGTTTTTATGTTATTACTGCTGCTCCATAAGACTTCAAAAGCAGTCGGAACATTCAGGGCTTCGCCCTGATACGAGCAGTCTTGTTTATAGTTTAATTTTAAAAGAGAGACTGCTATTGAAAATGTCGTTTTAAAACGTTAGAAGCTTTTGCTCACGCTGAAATACATCTTTGTTGCGGTTTGACTTCTGATTTGTCTTCAAATTCTCGTCTATTTCATTCTCGTCTATTTCATTTGCCAGATGGAAATAAGAGTGCAATCTCCGATAACAAAAGTGGAAATGAGCCGCGATAAATTTGACCTATAGTTTCAAAAGTTTGATTTCATTTTGCATGTGTCAATGAACGAGGTGGAGACACTTATTTAGTTAGTGGTTTTTTGCAAAAAAAGTCTTGAAAATTTTCAATCTCAAGCTCAATTTTTTGCGTGTTGACATCTGATTTTTAGAATTCTATTTAACTTCTTTTGAAAGTGGCTTTTAAAAAGATTTCGAAGTGGAATAAAAAAATTACTTATCAGGTTTCTCAAATTGGACCAGTTTTATTAAAGCAGTTTCAATCAAAATAAATTTTTAAATCTCACAGAGCCTTTTGTTTGCATGAAAATGTCTTCTTAATGTTAGCAGCTTCTGTTCACGCTGAAATATATATTTTTTGCGATCGCGCACAATGACTCAGGGGCGTTGGATTTGTATTGTTAAATCTTGCCAATGGCAATCTTGCGGGCCAACATCCCTCAATGTGTCCGGAAAAGTGTCCCGCTGCTTGGCCCATCGCTCTGTTCAGGAATGACAAACTGAAAATTAGCAAAAATAAGTTTTTTTTATTGTAAAAGTCCAAATAAAGTAAATTTTCATATACCGATCATTACTCGATGGCTTTACTCGCTCAAAGTTGAACTAAAAATCAAAAATTTAAACCCGTTTTTCTCAACTTTTGGACAGTTTTTCAATGTTCGAATCACGACTGAAAGTGCTTTAATTTGGTATATCACTCGACCCATTCTGATGATTTTTCGTGTTGACTATTTTTGCGTGCAAAACAAAAAACTAAAACACACGGGAATATAAAGGTCCTTCCCATTTTCAATGGTCGGAACAGTAAGCTTTCATATATCGAATTTTCGAAAAAAAAAGAAAAAATGGAGGACTGCAAAAGAGCCCAAATACATTTTCTACAAAATGAAAATTACGCAAATAAAAATAAAAAATGCGAAAGAAGTTGAATTACTTTCAGCTTTTGAAGTGGATTTTTACTTTCCCAACTAGATTTGATCCATTTTGTCCAAAAGATTTCTCTTAAATTGAAATTGTTGGGCTTGTTTTTCCTGTCGACCAACTTAAATAAGCATTGAAAACAAAAATTAGTACTATTCTTAATTGTAAAACCAACTATTACCAGAGTTTTGGCCTGGATAATTCTTTTGGGCTATTTTTTTTTGGGGGGGGGGGGGGGGGGATTGTTAACATGGGTCTGTTAATTTTATAACACAAGTGTCAATCATATTTTTTGTTGAATTTCTAAGAGCTTTAAGGGCATTTATTTTTTTACTGAAATTTGAAAGTTTTTTTGTTAATTGAGTTGTTAAAGTTTTTTTTTCAATGATAACATTTATTCGAGTTTCTTTTTTCGATAAATTCGGTTTTCATTAATGGTTTTTGATTTTATTTCCTTGTTTGGTTACAATTTTTGTTACAATATATCTGCTTGATATGGTCCGAAGTTTGCTTAAAAATGCAGCGATTTCTACAAATGAATGATAGTTGCTTTTCCGATTTTGTCTTGCGATTTCTACATTTGTGTGTGGGAACTAACTTATATGAACTTTCAAAATAATCTGTTCCTGTCATGTGGGCAGCCAGCAACAGTTTCGAAACATTTTCCATTTTAGATGATATCGGATTGTAGCTCGCGCTTTATGATAAAGAACATGGTCTGTTTTTTTTCCATAAGAAGACACACATGCCATTTCACAATTTATAATTTGGGACTCTAATTGGCACGATCTACATCCCCATAGTTACATGCAAATTTTGATACCTTTATTTTTATGCAAAGATGCGCTCTAAGGTTTTTTGTTTATTTGTGGCGTTTGAATGTTATGTACCACAAAATGATTGGTTCCGGATGGGAAAAGTTGTTTTTATTTGAAAGTTTAAAAATGATCTTCAAATAAGCAGTGTTTTGAGTTGATTCACTCGTGTTATTTTTTACTTGCGTATGCGAAGTGGATCACCTTTGTATTCTTATTCGATTCGCTAGTGGTCTTCTGTGTCTATTCAGATCTCATATCAATCAAGGTAAACTAACGGCATTGTTCCATGAGCAGAACGATGCAAATATGTTCATGGCAAATAAGTTGATTTCATCATATCTCATTGATGCAGATTTTGAACGTCATCGAAAGAGGGCAAATTTTGCTCCAATTACGGGGCTGAGTTTTCTCCCTCCGTGGGAAACTCCCCCTCCGCAAAGTAGAAGACCGCCAATACCCATTCCAACATACGCTCCGATTTTGAATCCAAGCGCAGGTTTGAGCGAACATCAAATAACCTCTGCAGGGGCGGATCTAGGATATTCTCTAGGGGTGGACGGATTTCAATCCCAAATCAGTAAAAGACCCTGTTTTGGTAAAATTTTCTGCGCCGCAGGCAAAATTTTGAAAAACGCCAAAAAGGGGCGTTTTTAGGCAATTTTTGGAAAATGTTGACAAAAAAATAGCGTTTTTTCGGCGCGAACTCCCCGCTCAAAATAAGTATATATTGACGCCAAAGGTGCCTTCAGAAAAATTTTAGGGTCAGCCAAAATGGATATCTCAAAATAGTACAAAGGGGACCCTTTGGGTCGGCAGGGGGTCGAATCCCTGTGGGGGAGGGGGCGTCCGCCCCCCAATCTAAATCCGCCCTTAAACCTATGTAACCCAGCTAGCTTATTATTCAGTGTTGTTATCCTTATCTGTGCAAAAAGTAAATGTATCAGCCAGCTGCGTTTATACAAAATATACTCTTGTTCATGCCATTTAATGTGAACTATGTTCTTCTTGGATGGTCTTCCCGTCTTCCATTGGGTGTAGTCTAAACAAATGGGCGATATACATACGTAATTCTTTGCTTCTCCTGCTTACTTAGCCTAGATGTAACGACTATACCTGGGACAACAAAGGTTCGAATCTGGCCAGGATCCGTTTCTTTGAAGCGGAAAATAATTCTTTTTCTGCTTAGCGAGCTAGAAAGATTAGTGTTATATTACGAATCAAGTTTTTTCTCAACTCAACGTGCAAATGAAAGTGCTCATTTGGTGTTTGATGTTATATGCATTTGCATTTTAATAGCCATTGTAGCTGCTTATTGGTGGCTAGTGTTAGTAGAATTCCAAGCGAACGTGGTTCAGATGTTAGGACGTGAGACCTCCTATCTCGCACATACAGTTTTACTTTAATTTGGTGGGTATTTTGCTGCATAGTATTGACAATTTAATAACAATTGTAGCTGCTTCGATGGTAGCTAAGTTAGTATATTTTCGTTTCCAGTACATAAGAAAAATGGTATTTCCTAAGGCTTATTTTAACTTTTTTTTTTCATTTTCGTGCATTGGCCTATCGAACTAATGTTCTACGGAACTACTTGACAAAATGATAAAAATCTTAGTTTTTAGATTTTCAAAACTTCATAGCAAAGTTTTCCATCACATGAGTTTTGTTTTCGGATCAACGGGAGTTAACAAATTTGTTTGGCTTAGTTGCCTCTGAATAGATATTTTGAATTTTTATTTTATATCGTTGATTTTATTGCTGGACGTGTTTTCATTATTGAACATCATAGACATAATTTTGTAGACAGAAATAGAGACAAACTTTTTGTAATTGTTGTTTTTTCGATATTTTTTCTTCCGAATTCGTTTTTTTTTTAATTTTTCTGCTAGCTTGGAATGGTTCGCCTCGCCTCTGTGTGAAAAGTATCTATCTACACCAAGTACTGTCATTGATTTCCTGTTCCGGGTTTTATTCTGTAGCGAGCCTCATCTGCCTACTTCTTCTATTTTCCCTGAGACGGAAGTGCCCGGATGTAACGATAAAACTTTTCTTCTCCTCATTTGTTCTAGAATCTCCCCGCTTAATGGTCTAGAATTTATTGTTTTTTGTTACAAAAATTACAAATATTTTTTTCAGTTGCCGGACCGCAGATGCAGAATCACGTGGTATCCGTAACAGCCGCTTGTGGCTTCTCATCTTCGAATGTGGATCCACTGGTCACAGCATCTCAAACAGAAATTGCACAGAACACTCTTGACCAGGAAGCACTCAGGATCATGGAGAACATTCTAGAGCATCTCATTTCAAATGTAAAAATTGGCAAATGCTGATATCAGAAAAATGTTACGGTTTATTGATGGTACTGCTAGTCACTTGCTGGATATCAACTTTGACTTTTTTGAGTTCGAATTTAAGACTTAAGTTGCTTTCGTCGCTTGATCAAATAGTTTCATAAAGGCACAGAGAAAAATTCTTTTTTCAGTATACATTACAAAGCTAATATTTTTTGAAGATCACTTTGACCTGTTGGACGGACAGCAAAGGTGGGAGGGTGGAGGCCTTTAAATTCATGCTGAAAGAGTTCAGACAGAAGTTCCTCTTCAAGATATTCCAGGACTACAACCACAAAATGGATCTGTACAACGACACCAACGAAGGCAATTGCAGTTGTTTAACTCGTTATTAGTTTCATAAAAAGCCTTTACCCTTGTGATAAGCAAGGGTATTGCAATCGGGTACTAGACTATTTCCCGTAAACAACTTTGTTCACAGAATGGTCAATTTTAGTAGGAATGGTAAATTTCAATTTTACGACTGCAAGCGTGCAGACTGCTGGCAAGAAGACTGCTTACATGAACAATTTCTCGAAAATTTAAATAAAACTACCATCATTTAGGTAGTAATTAGGGGAAGTTCGTTTCAGGTAATAGCTTTTTTTCAAATAAATTTGAAAACAAATTTTGTAATCGTGGTTTTCGTTCTTGCTTCCGTCGGCTTGTTTTTCTTTTTTGTAAATGCAGTTTGTATTATCTGGTTCCTTTTTTTGGCTTGTTTTCCAAAGCATAGGCTTTTTATTGATTTATTGAACGTTCTGTAGTTAGTGATTGTTTTCGTTTCATTTTAGGTTAAACGGTTTTGGCTCATGTTATTTCAGTTTAGTCAAAATTTGATGCGTATTTTCGAGGGTAAAATATATGTTTATGCGTTTTATATCAAAATTTTCAGTTTTCTTTTGATATAAAATTAATTTTCAACTGTCTTGTTAAAATATTTTTACAAGTGAAATTTATTCATGACACATTGAAGCAAAAATTTGAAAATTTTGGTAATTCTAAATTTTGGTAATTCTGAAAATTTTGGTATTCGGAATTTCATTAACTCGAAAAAAAGAGTGAGTTTACCGTGTAATTTCATATGACGCGAGAAGCATAGACGTCTTGTCTCTAGAGTAACTGGTATTTCTGACCATGATTTAAAAAAAATAAGAGTAATGTACGTAGTGAGTACTCTGATACAGGTTTTTTGTAATTTTTTTCCGGAAAAAGTCTTTAAATTTGTTCCCGCTCAATTTTGATTTTTGGTGGTTTGACTTTTGATTTTTTAAGTTTACTTTCTTTTCTTTCTTAAAAGGAAGGCAAACTCCATTATTGAACAGCAAAAGTGTAGGGGTCACGAATAACGTGAACGACTTCTAATTTCTAGAAGGGAATTTATTTGTCAGATTACCCAGCGAAATAAAAATTTAATCTATTGATCCAGTTTTTGCAAATCTGGTCAATTTCATCAAAAAGGTGTCGATAATAAATTGTTTGAGAAATACAGAAAGCTTTAAGGCCATTAATTTGTTCTCTAAAAATCGAAAGTTGAGATTTTTTCAATAAAACAAGTCAGTTTCCTTGCTTTCAATGCTCTTTTCGACCTGTCAGTTGGCTATGTTTTGTTTTACGCCTTTGTTCTAGATTGGGAGCCGGAGGAGTGTGTGAATGAGGAGCGGGATCTGATTGTAAAGATGAAGGTGCAGGTCATCCAGTGGATAATTAGTATTCTTCCTCCCTCCAAGACCAAGTAAGTTAATTTAAGTACGACATTGAATGAGTTTATGCTTAATACAACCACGAGGAAAGCAAAAGGATGAGTTTATGTGCAGAATCAATGCGAATCTCTTTAACCAAAATTGATTAAATCAAACCTGCTACTCACGCCATAATGATAGAAGCAAAAAAGTGGCTGTACTTCTTCTGCAAGGAGCAAGTTTTTCGAAATTTGTATGCCTCTGTTTCTACCGGACATCACGGTTTCTACCGAAAGTGCTTGTTTTCGTCTTTATCCAGTCCAAATAATGTTTTACTTTTATATCAGCTAAGTGCCACTATGACCTCAGATTCAAATTTTAGTTGTCTTTTAAATGTTAACTAGATGCTACGCGTGTCTTTAAGTGCTTCGCAGTGAATGAATTATGAAGTTTACTGGTAACAAAAACGTCTACTTACTAATAACGCTCACTTAATTAAATACAGTAAATTTAGCAGCCAGACTTCATGGCATCATTGAATAGTGTTTTTCTATTTGACAAGGACTTCGATGGTAGGACAAATTATGAAACCTAGAAGTTCATTGTCTTGTTAAGAAGACAGAGGTCTAGGGAACTCGGAAATTTATATTCATGCTTAGCCTAGCGCTATTATTTAATTTACAAGTGCTTGCTTGCAAACCATAGCGCAAGAGCGGTTGCGACTCTGCAATCTTGTGATTTGCTGGGCGAGCATGCAATGTCACTTGAATTTGTTTCTTTTCTTCTCCTATAATGAGCTTTGTTGATTTTCAGAGAAGTGGTAATGGGGTTGAACCCACGGGTTCTATCTCTTCAGAGAAGCTACTTCACTTACTGGTGAAAAAAATCATCATTTGTGATAAAAATAATAACATCATTGTAGAACTAAAATTAGAAAATTGTTTTCTTGCGGCTGTGTCGCGTCGCATTGGAAAAGTGGTTATTGCCTCCATCTCTCGAGAAGTCATGTAATGTTTACCATAGGGAGCCCGATACCCGCCGTAAAATACCGTTTGTTTTTAATTTCTCTGCTCGAAAATTGGGTTCCGGGTACCCAATTTTAATACTGGGTAATCTTAATACTGGTTACCGGAAATGGATTATACAGATGATTGCGTCTAAACATCAAAAAGTGGGAAATTCGGGCTATATTTATTTGAAAAAATATATATATATATATTAAGTATCAAGTTGAGGCTTAATTTATTTTGAAGTAAAAGGTAGCGCAAAGCAATTCTTGAGCACATTAGTTTTGATCAGCCACACCCCAACATGTGATGGCTCGGAATGACCACTGATCGACGCATAGGTTTATTGACTCGTGGGTTTTCGTTTTATTGCTACATTGGCTTGTTGCACCTCATTTCTCACACCTTATTTTGTTTTGTTTTCTCAATTTTCGATATAAAAATTATATTTTTTTAATGTCAAAATTTTCACGCGTACTGATTTTCTTGTGTTCTCAATTTTCTAGCCTCTTGATACTTAAAAGTATCCTTCATTCAGATATTATACCTTAAAGAAACTGATGTTTCAAATTACATATTGCGAATCGGGCTAAGTATTTAGAATACTGAATGGAATGTCTTAAGGAACGGTTTCGATCTTGACAGCTTAGAGACCACTTTTTTAAACAATAGAACACTATATTTCTGTCGGGTACTAAATTGTATCCGTTATGCATTCACTTATGAAAATCAGAGATACTGAATTAAGAGCTGTAAACTTGGGTATTTTTGTAGGTGCGTTAATTGAACGACACGTTTTTGTTGTTGAAATTTTTGGTTTATTCGTCGAGTACTTTTTGAAAGTTTGTTGTTGCTAATGAAATTTTAGAAAACATAGATTTCATATTTAAAATTGCTTATTTTTTCAAATCATTGTGTTAGTTATGGCTAATGGCTATAACTGATTTAACTTATAATATAGGAAGAAATTATTGAAATCAAATTCGTCCGAAGAAACCGTTTTAAAATAAAAACTGTTTTAATCTTCATTAGCTTCAAAAAATTAACTGTAAAAGTTTTATTGAACTTGATTTTTAATAATTACACTAGCCAGCGCAGTATATTAGTATGAATCTACTATTTTACCAACCTAACTTGCAAATAAAAGTGCTCATTTTGTTGGCACTTTTGTTTTAATCACGATATCTAGCTTTGGAAATTTCATAGCATCTGTTCTGTGCTTTATTTGTGGCTAGTGTTTGCTTGTCGTTAAGCCACCGTAACAGAAATAGAAGAAAGTCAGACTACTACTCTACTGGTCGGAGGTTTAACTCTGCACTTAGAACTAGTTTTTTTTTAATATTTGGTGTCATATTTGCTTCATAGCCTTGGCATTTTATAAGCATCTCTAGCTGCATTTTAGGTGGCTAGTGTTAGCAATTTTTCACGGGCCTGTTTCGCTTATGTGAGACTCCAACTCTCGAGTTTGCAGGTTCGAATCCGAGAGTAAGCAAAAGTTTACTAATTCGAGTCTTATTTCTACTGTTTTTTTATTTCGCTTTAAAGAGCTGCTTTTTGTCATTTTCTCGCCAGTGCTTGCTATGCCAGCTTCGTCTCTTTTTGAAAATGAGTTAGTTTCAATTAAATTAGTTTTCTTGTTCTTTTGTTTTGCATCAATTTTGAGGTTAAAATCAATCTATAAAAAATGTCGGTTAGTCGGTATAATGAAACTTGGTGTATCGATTAGCGTAAATCTCGACAAGACAACAATCAAATTGAAAATTATCCAGTCTAGCATAAAATAAAATCCAAAAGTCAAATAAATATGTATGCTTGTTATTAGCAAGCGTTATCAGATCGAATTTTTTTCCAGATTATCAACTTGTTAAGCAAAATCAGTTGAATCATTTGTGCTGCGAAAATTCTTAATTTCCTGAGAATTTGAAATTAACTACTGGATACTAATATTAATTACTCTTGGTAAATGCTAATTTAAATTTCTAACCATTGTGTATTTGTGATAGAATGTGTAATTCGGAGTCGATGAACATAGTTCAGATTCGTATGTAGGTCGTGATGATTTTTGTGGGAAAATTCTTTCAAATTGTTCAGGCTCAAGATCTTTTTTTTTTATTAAAAGGAAGGAAAACGTCACTATCGAACAAAAAAATTGCCTGTGTTAAAAACGTGATCGATTTCTGGTTTTGATAGTGGGTTTTAATTTAAGTTATCCCAGCGGACCATAAACTTTACATATTGATCCAGGTTTATCAAATTGGGTTAATTGTATCTGTAAAAGGTTATCAGTAATTGTTTCTGAAATGCCAAGAGTTTAAGTTATTTGAAATTCGATAGTTGCGATTATTTTTGAAAAACAAGTCAGCTTTTTTTCTTTCTGTTTACTTGCGTTCATTGACTCTTTTCCAGCTGTTGGCTATTTTTATTTTTTGCGGCTTCATTGTAGTGGATATTATCTCTGTCGGTTTAGTTTCCAAACTGTGTATAGACTTTATATATAGCACTCATGGATAATACGTGAGCGGTTATAGCATTTTCCTCAATATGATTTTTTGCTGTTAAATTTTGGTTGATTTTCAGCTTCTTAGGTGTCAGCTTTAATTCTGTCAGCTTTTTTACCTCAATTTTTTTTGAATGCGCGAATGACAATAAATTTTAATTGTTCAGAATTCAGCCGGCAAGGACGGAGTTTTAACAAATCAATCATTTCAACATAAAAAACTTGATTATCTTACCATTGCGATCAGCAAGGTTATTGCAATTGGGCACTACACTTTTTTCCGGTAAATATCTTTGTTCGCAGGATCTCCACGTTAGAAGAACTCCAGTTTCAGGCAATTGAACAGCTGTAGTTCTGGGTCTAGAGTTACTGAAGTGATACTGGGTCTACAGCTGACGAAATTTATAGATTTTTGTAGGCCTTATTTGTTTCTTCCCAATTTTTGCCGACTTTATTGCTAGTAGCAGTTTATTCAATTCAATTGTTTAATTCAATTTGATTTTGAAGATCGTATTTATAGTTTATGGATTTTTTATTTGACAGGCTAAAACTTTTAGCTTGAAAAGAAAAACTATTTTTTTAATTTCTTTTGCATTATATTTCAGTTTTTAATGCGCAGTTTGTGGTATTTTTTCGTTCTAAAAATGTGTATAGCTAGCTTTAAGCAACTCAGCGTCATAATTATTTTTGAGCCATATCATTTTGAATGCATTCGAGGTTATGAACCAGCGTCTTGGTCTAATTTTTTCAAACAATTCTTTAGTTTCCAGAAATTGTTGTTGCTACTTTGACTTGTCGGTTTTGTCTAAAAAGGAGATTGGCGGGTGTTGCGCGAGATTCAAGAGTGTGCTTGGTTGAGGCTGAAATGCTTTAAACGAGCTTTTGTGTATCTTTTTTTCATTAACGGGGGTCTTTTTTCTTAGTTTATTTTTGGTGTGGTTCAGCTTTCTTATCGTTGCTTATGAACGTAGTGAAGAACGCTTATATAGGTCTTGATGGTTTTCTGTTTTTTTTTCAAGAAAAAGTGTTAAAATATTGATGCACTTAGGTCTAATGCACTTTTTGAGTTAATTGAAATTCATCTGCTGAAAGTGACGTAAATAGCAAACTCCAAATACGAACGTGGAAATGGCGCGAAAAAACGTGAACGATTTCTAGTTTCGAAAGTGGAATTTATTTTTAAGATTTCCCAGCGGATTAAAAACTTAACCTGTTGATTCAGTTTTCCCAAGTTGGGTTAATGTAATCAAAAAAGCGCGAATCATAAATTGTTATAGAAATTCATAGAGCCTAAATGGCATCTATTTTTTTCTTTGAATTTCGAAAGTTGAAATTTTTTCAAGAAAGTCAGTGTTTTTTTTATGTTTGCTCTTTTCTAATCTTCGATTGGCTATGTTTTTAATGTTGTAGTTAATTGGTTTTGAAACAATTGCCACAAAAAGTATTTCTAAATTTTTAGCCGACGATTTGTACCACAGAGCTTATTTAATTTTTTTTTTCGTACGAGCCAGTTTATCTTTCAAGCTTTGGCATTCATATTTCTATCGCAGTTGTCGTGAAGCTCTCTTTCCTCAGTTTTTTTGTCTTTCCAGTTCTTTCTTGAGTGGTATGTATGCACTTTTTGAGTTCAATTCACAACTTCATCTGCTAAAAGATATGTAAGTTGCGCTCTTTAATTCCGAACTTGGAAGTTGTTAACGAAACGAAACGTTAACGACTTTTATATTTTATATCTTAGGTTTCCGGTGGAATCAAAATTTTACCTATTAGTCCAAATTTCTCAAATTGAGTTATATTAATTTGAAAATTGTCAATCATAATTGTTTCTTGAAATTCAAAAAACAAAGGCCATATTATTATACTTCGAAGCTTAAAGCTTTTCAAAAATATGTCAGTTTTTGTCTGTTGACTCTTTTCCATCTATCTGTTGGCTCTGTTCTTTAATTTCATTTAATTTTTTCCCCAATATTGAGAAGAAAAGTGCTATTAAAAATAAAATTAACCAGCAATTTGTTTTAAAAGTCCATGTAAATTGCAAAAATCATGCTCATATAGCTAGATTTTTGCCAGTAGACTATTATGGGAAATTGTCTCATAAAATTAATAGCCCTTGCGATAAGCAAGGGTATTGGAACCGGGTACTAGACTTTTTTTCCCGCAAATAACTTTGGTCACATATTTAGTACATATTTATAGAGAAGTTTGCAATGGTATTTTTACGCATATGCACCTTATGCAGCGTACTTGTTTTGCTTGTATAAGTCTTGCATTGTAGCGGGTATATGCAAAACTTTTTATGATTTTTACTGAAAATATTTGGGCTGTTTTTCAGCTTATTAAGTGTCGGCTTTTTTGCTGAATGCTTTTTTTTGTATTAATTTGGTTCCAGTCGTTTTTACCCTTGCGATAAGCAAGTGTATTGCAATCGGGTTCAAGACTTTTTTGCCGTCAAAAACTTTGTCCTCAGGACTCAATTCTGGACTCTTTCACCTCTCCTCCTCTTCGCAAATCCTACTCCACTCGGTTCAAATATCAAGCATCCTGTTCAAAATTTGCTTTCTATGTTGGTTGCGATTTTTCCAACTCGATTTTTAAATTTTTTTGTGACCGTTTTTCGGCTTTATAGTCTTCGGCCTAATTTATGTCGGCTTAGTGGCCTAATTTTTTATAGTTTCAAGAGAAACATTTTTTAATGCTCACCTCTGGATTGCACGAATTGCTAAAAGTCTTAACAGAAATTATAGTTCAAGTTTTTCATGACAACAACTTATTTCGGCTTTTTTTCGACTGAGTAAGTTTTGGCATATATCATATCGGTTTAATGTCCGCATATTGCGCCTTTCGATAGACCAAAAAAGTTTGCGTGGGCGTGTCTGTGTTTTGAGGGTGAGGGGGATTTAATAGCTTCTTACTAACTTTAAATTTTTTCGTTTTCTTTTGTTTTGGTTTGATCGGTTTTGGCCCATATTATATTGGCTTCGTCGCCTCAGGGGGACTTAATAACTTCCTATAAGTCTTAATTTTGTCTTTTTTTGGCTTTATTTTTTAATTTTTTTTTCGGCTTTAATAGTTTTCGTTCAATTTTATATCGGCATAGTGGCCGCATTCTGTTTAGTTTGACTCGTGAATAAAGTTTGAGTGTGTGTGTGTATGCGTGTGTGTGTGTTTGTTTGCTTGAGGGTGTGGGGGACTCGAAATGTTCGAATTTTTTCGACTTAATGGCTTTCTTGTTTTGTATCGGAAGTGGTGCGAAGCTCAAATTCGCCTATGTTGAATTATTTCATCTTTGATAAGGTTTATTTTGAAATTTCAAATCACTTCTTCGACCTTCTTTGAAGAACGTTAGAATAAATCATAAAAAAGTTTTGTCATATTTTTTTGGGAATTTTTTATCGAATTGTTTTATCAGTTTAATAAAACTTCGGATAATTTCCTCGATACTTCATGATCGACCTTCTGTTATTATCATTATTTTTCAGCGAATGTAATTAAAGTCATGAGTTTATTAGCAATTTTTTTGGTATAATTTTCGATCAATTTGTTCGTCAATTATTTTTTTGTTTTAAGTGCTTTCTAGCATCTATATTTTTTAGAACGATCAGTTCTCGTAGCAAGAGGTTCGGTTTTAGAAGGCCTTAAGTGCTATCAGATCTCAAACTACCGTTAAATTGTTTAATTTCATATTTTGCTTGTAATTTTAAGAATTTTTTTTTTGAAAATAGATTTAGTTTGTTTGCGCTATTTGTTACTAGTACACTTAATGTTTTTCTCTCCTCGCTTCCGTATAGTGTTTGTTTTTGATTTGCAATTAAAGTGTAGGCGGTTAGTGTGATTTAGGTGTTTTTTACCTACTAAAACTTCATGATAGCGAAAAAAGATAAAGTGGATGAGTTTTTTCGCCAGCATTTTCTTTTGGATATTTTTTTTCGTCTTAGTTTGTGTGGACTTCCTTCAGAGCAATTTTACGTCCTATTTCCTGGTGTGACTGAGAATTTTTGCTTGCTAATCGATTCAAATTAATGACACATCGAACTTTGAAAAAAAATCATGTTTCAAGATTTTCTGCTTATAAAAATCCCACATGTGATTTTTTGGGACCATTTATCCTGTTTTTGTCTGCATAGTTACCGTTCGGTTATTTTTTAATGCTAGTTCAATGCTGGTTTTTGTGTTCTGTCACAGATTTTCATCAAAAGGATATTCTGTTTGAAGCAAACATATAAAAATTATGCGTGTTGTTTTTTTGGCGTTTTTTCAATATTTTCAGGATTTGATGGCTTTATGTATCTCAAGTTGTGCGTAGCTAAGCTTCGCCTCTGTGTTTAATTTTTCTTGAGTACGTTGACCGTTTTCCAGCCATCTGTTAACTATGTTCTGATTTTTTTTAAATTTCAAAAGCATAACCAGATGCGGATGGCTCAAATTGCGTAATTCACCCAAGAAAGAAGTTCAGGCAGTTAAATTAACTTGTGATGCATCTGGAGTATTTCAATTTAGTCATTCTAGAGTTATTTCATGGCTTTGCGTTAAATGTTCTTTCGCTTCAGCTTTTTCATGCTTCTGATATTTCAGGCGACGACGTACCATTACAGCATCTGAAGGGTTTGTATACACTTTCAAATGAACTGTTTTCCTTGTTTGTAAGGCTGTTTGCAATTAAGTGATTATCTAAGCTTGAATGAGTTATGTTATATCTAAATCATCGCAAAGGATTGGCGCTTTAAATTTTTTTAACCGTCCCTTTCCAACACTGCTAATTTTTAAACGTTCAAATGTTTTAATTTGCCGGAAAGTTTATTGTTTTGCGAAATCATTTAATAACCAGTAATGGTTTTGCCCCGTGTTTTTTAATTAGCTCAAATAACCGGAAAGCTTAGGTATCATTTTTTATTGGCTCTGAATTGCTGAATAATCAGTATTGGTTTGTCCAGCATTTTTCAAAATACGTTAAGGTTGCATGGCTGGCTGAAATATCGTCGCTTCGCGTCAATTATCACTAATAGTTAGCTTGCATCTTAATTTTTTGTTTTGTTCTTACGTGGTTACTTCAATTTATGTCATAGACTTGTAGTTCATCGAATCATTGAAAATAAACATTCAATCAAATATCATCATAAAATGCGTTGATTTGGAAATAGTGCTGTTGTCTGAATCGTTTTAGAGTGTGAATACGTCAAAAAAAAGCCGCGTTAGTGCTTAAAGTGTTTGCCTGTCACTCGCTTTTATGGTTTCAGCGAGGTAGATTCTAAATCAGGGGGAACTTGGCGATCCCTGCCGACCCCTTTGTTACCTTCTGGAGCTTCGGGGAAGAATCTTCTCATGTCCCAGACTAACAACCCAGTGTCTGGCGCGGTATCCCCTGGCGAAGTGTCTTTGGCTGCCTCTGGAAACTTCGGTGCGGGCCATCAAGTGAGAGACGAGGCAACTATGATTGCATATCAGGTGCTGACTTCAACTAAAGAGAATATCAACATGTGTCTGGAGATCTTGAGACAGGTGAATGATCTGCGAAATCTCTCTTACAATACCCCTCATCGAAATTTAAAAACTTCAATTTTGAACTTTCATAGTTTAGGAATGATTTTTGTTTTCGGCTGTTTTTCCACGTTTTGGCAGCCCAGTGGAATGTATAATGGGATCGTGAACAATGTTCAAGCTCCCTAGCCTGTGATTTTTTTCAAGGATCAGTCGGAATTGGAATCAAAATGACAAAATATTTTGTTTCCAAGATTTAGCGTTGATTTCCAGGCGCTGTTGTTGCCGCTGGCCTACTCAGACACAACGCACAGTGTGATCCAGTTGCTCACCTCCTGGCTAGAGTGTCCAGATGAGGAAAAACCAGAGTTTGTAAAGGATAGTAGCAGCAGTAGATTGGACCACACCCCTTCTGACTCAGAGGTAGAGATGGAGGATGCGGCTGGCTTTGCGGTGAGTAGTTCAGTAATTATTACTTTGTTGACTATGGTGGCTTGACTATGCAGTTTTACAATTTGTCGAGGTTTATTTAAAGAAATGAGAGATTGGGTTATTTCAGTGATGTTGGTTGACTTCTGTTTGGCATGAATATGGAAATGTTTCGCCAATTTTTCGTGAGAGCTCCGCTCAAAAAAGTAGCAGAGGCGCATTCCAAGAAACTGCAGGGTCGTTCAAGAAAAAATTGATGTTTGACTTTGAAAAGGTATAAAAGAGAGAACTTTAGGCGGCGCAGTGACAAAATTTTTGCTGTCTTTGGAGAAAATCTTCTCAGTTTGCTTGAAAAATAAAAATGTAGACCGAGTAGTCTTTTTCAGAATCAGCGAAGTTCGGGCGTGGACCAAAGGGCGGCTGCAAACTCCAAGTCAGGAAGATGCATCTCAGTGGTCATGAATCCTCCAGCCAGCTCCCTAGTGCACGACAACCTAAGAGCAGGAGTGCAATGCTACCTGCAGTACCTGTTCAGAGCACTGTCTGTCGTATTTTACATTCAGCATAAGAGTGATTCGCCAAAAATGGACGCCGCGGTTAGAGCAATCGAATCAATTTCTAGTTAAACCTGGTACAGGGACTGATCTAGGATGTTCTCGAGAGAGGAGTGGATTTTCGACAAAAAATGGATTTCTGGTTGTATTCTCGCTTGGTGGAAAAAAAAACAGACCAAAAGGGCGTTTTTAGGCTCATGGAAAATTTTGACCAAAGTCGCTATTTTTTGGCGCTCGCTCCGCCTCAAAATTAGTATATATTGGCGCCCAAGGCACAAAATTTCCGGGTCGATAAGCCAAAATGAATGTCTTAAAAAAACCAAAGGCGTCCGCCCCTCCCCCATCTAAATCCGCCATTGATCTGGTTTATAATTTTGAGGTTATCTCACTCTATGTCCGAAATCATAAACAAACCATGAAAACTGAGTATCAATATCATGACAAATTTTGAACAAAATGAATTGTAATGTTATCTCAAGGCTGCATGTGGTTTCAGCTACAAGAGACGCGTACCAAAGTGGTGCAGATGTTCAGGAAAGTGACAGTGACAGCACAGGGCAGTATGGCTACTCACCCCTTAGTGCAGGCACCTTCCACCTGGTACCACTCCATTCACACCCTCTTCAGGGCCACTCAATTCAACTTCGACAACAATCGACATCTCATGCCAAGCAACGAGCAGTTTTTGTCTAATCTAGTCAATGTTAGTCGGCAGAATGTTTGATAAATTAACATAAGTGCGGTTATGTTTAAGTTTGTTCTATAAGTTTTTTTGGTAAGAGGAGATAAGGCTTAGTTTCTTATAACTTATTTTGCATAATTTTATTTATGTTTAACCAAGTGGGTTTGCTTGTGGGACTTTCAAAAGAGCCGACCTTTGATATGTTATTAAACAGTAGGAAAAAGCTCTTACTTTTGTGTGTGTTGTAGACGTTGGTGGTGAATTGTGTGATGTCCAATCTGTTTGTGAGGATGGACACTGCCATCTGGGACAACCTTTCTCTCCTCGTCTCATCAGTGGCTCACAAGGCACCTGTAGTCGTCGAACAGTGGGCTGTAAGTAGATTTCAGTACAAATTGTGCAAAGTTACACACCGACGAGCATCAAATAGGAAGAGCTGATAATCTTTCTGGTTTCTAAATTTTGCCTTTGTTCTCCTTGGCCTTTTTCATTATAACCCGACAGAAAAGTTACAAAAAATATAGCCCCACTGGAGTAATGTTTTGTAATATAGCGGGCTATTTGTTTGGGGGATATAATGGGAAAGAGCTGCTTTTTGGTTAAGAGGTTTAGGGGCGTGAACTTTCGCTTCAAGAAATTGGATTTTAAGAGTCTGTTTGCGTTTAATTAAGAGTCAGGAACGTACTGAAGATTTATATTTTTATTTATTATTTATATAGGACGCGATGATTTTTTTAGGATAAGTGTTAAAATATTAGTTCAGGCTCAAATATAATTTTTTGCAGTTTGACTTTTGGCTTTTTAAGTTCAGTTCATTTCCTTTGTTAAAATACACTATCGAACAGCGAAAGTGCATAGATCACGAAAATTTGATCGACTTCTAGTTTCGAAAGTGGAATTTTATTTTTAGATGTTGCAGCGCAATAAAATTTTTACTGAGACTCCAGTTTTCTCAATTTGAGTAAATTTTATCAAAAACGTGTTTGTCAATCACACATTTTGTAGAAATTCAAAGAGAAATTCAAACGAAAATAATCATTTTACAACTTAGCATAATGTGTACACCAGTTTTGAAAAATCGAAAAAAAGTTTCGGAAAAGCTTACGCGCTATCTAAATTTTGTTTTTGGTACCTGTTTGGAAAGAGGGCACATAGATGCAAAGATGTTTTTTCTAACGTGCCAACATAACCTATTTCGGTCGTTTTGTGATCTTTATGTCTTTAGTTGCATTCAATATTTGCATATAATCCAGCAATAAATTGAAATCTACGCTGATAATATTATTACGGACTGTTGTAATGTTTTATACCATCTAAACGGTTTTGACGTGGTAAGCTTGAAATTAACAAGTAGTTTCACCTGTGATCTTTTTCGCAAATTTATGAACGCGTAGGCAGTTGGCGAAATAATCCGGCTCCGAAATAATTCAAATGTTACTTAGGCGAGCTGTTTGGTCTCGCTACTGGACGATAATTTATATAGGACTCTTATATAATTCAGATCTCGTTGATTTTTTTTTTTCAGGAAAAAATTTTGATTTTTTGTGGTTTGATTTTTGATTTTAATGAAGGCAAACTCCACTATCGAACAGCAAAAGTATAAAGGTCGCGGAAAACTTGATCGACTTCTTGTTTCGACAGGGGATTTTAATATTCCATTTTCTCGGCAGCTTTTAAATTTTACCTATTTATCTAGATTCTCAAATTAAGTTGATTTTATAAAAAAAAGCAGCAAAGATAAATTATATTCAAAATTCAAATAAATTTTCAGGCATATACTTTTTCTTTAAAATCCGAAAGTTGAAGTTTTCTATTAAAAAATTAAGTCAGTTTCTTTTTGTTTTCTAGAGTTCATTACTATTTTTTAACTGTCAATTTGATAAGTTTTACTTTGCATAACGTATGGGCGAAATTTAAAAAAAAAACAGTTTTCTTAAGTTTCGAAATCCAGATATTTATCTATTTATTCAAGTTTATTATTGTTACCTGATTTTGTTTGAAAAAAAAACACCCTGTTCTCAAGTTCTTTTTTCTAATGTGTCGAGCAGTAGCCGAGATTTTTAAGAGTAATGCACATAGTGAAGACTCTTATATAGGTCTTGCTGATTTTTTTGTTTTTTTTTTTCAGGAAAATGTCTTAAAATTTGTTCACGCTCAATTTCGATTTTTCGCGGTTTGACTTGTGATTTTTTTAAAGTGCAGTGCATTTCTATTATTAAAAAGAAGGCAAACTTCTTTATTGAGAAGCAAAATTGCATAGGTCACGAAAAACGTGATCGACTTCTAATTTTGAAAATGGAAATTAATTATCTGATTTCCCAGCGAAACGAAAGTTTTACCTATTTACCGAGTTTTCTCATATTGGGTTAATTTTAACAAAAAGTGTCCATCATAAATTGTTCTACAAGTTCAAAGAGCTTTAAGGCCATCTAATTTTTTATTCGAAATTAAGAAATGAAGATTTTTGAAGAAAAAAACAAGTCGTTTTTTTTTTGTTTCCTTGCGTTCTTTACTCTTTTCCAACTGTCAGTTGGCTATGTTAGTGAGAAAACAGTTAACGGAGAACATTTTTTTTTCGCTCTTAGTTTTGTCGGCTGATTGTCGACTGTTGTTTCGAAAATCGGCATGATACGAAGCCAAGCTTTTCCTAGATTTTTGAATATCCAATTTACTCTAAACAAAATGGAATATGTGGCTATCTTCAATATTTTATCGAATTAGTTCCTCAACTGCCCTGGTTTTAGGCTACTGAATGTGTACTGCGTATTTCTTCAAATAAATTTTTTTAAAACTATTTGATAAATTTCTGAGAGCCATATGATATTTCGCCCAGTGCCTTAGTTAACCAAGTTTTAGTTGAGCGTTTGATTTAAAGTTTATCAAAATTGTTTTCATGGCTTTTTGAAGAATTTTGAAAGGTTCAAACTTAAAGAAAAATCTCAAATTCACAAACATGCTTTAATATTTTTTTATTCAAATTTGATTTGATCCCTTGAAATTTGTTCTTAATTGTTTTCAGGCTCAAATTTACTTTTTCGCGCTTTGATTCTTTTCTTTATTAAGAGTCGATGAAGCTTGCTCAGACTCTTATGTAGGTCGCGACGATTTTTTTAAAAGTTGTTTTTTAGAAAATTTCTTAAAATTTGTTCACTTTCAATTTTGAGTTTTCACGGTTCGACTTTGATTTCTTTTTCCGTTCAGTTCATTTCCTTTGTTAAAAGGAAGCAAATTTTACTCTCGAACAAGGAAAGTATAAAGGCCACGAAAAACCTGATCGAATTCTAGTCTCGAAAGTGGAATTTATTTACGGAATTTCCCAGCGAAATAATTACCTATTGATCCATATTTCTGAATTTGGTTTAATTTTATCAAAAAAGTGTCAATCATAAATCGTTCTAGAAACTCAAAGGGCTTTAAGGCCTTCTTATTTTTTTTAAATTCGAAGATGGAAATTCTAGTCAATGTTACTTTTTCCGGTTACTTGCGTTTTTTGAGTCTTTTCCAATTGTCTGCTGGCTATGTTTTTAAGTTCAGTTCAATTACTTTGTTATAACACCACTTTTGAACTGCGAAAGTGTGTAGTCCACAAAAACCTCGATCAATTTCTAGTTTGGAAAGAGGAACTTAATTAATAAGAGTAATGAACGTAGTGAGTACTCTTATATAGGTCTTGCTGATTTTTTAAAAAATATTTTTCAGGAAAAAGTCTTAAAATTTGTTCTCGCTCAATTTTGATTTTTTGTGGTTTGACTTGTGATTTCTTTTCAAGTTTAGTCCATCTCCATTCCTGAAAGGAAGGCAAACTCCACTATCGAACAGCAAAAGTGCAAAGGCCACGAAAAACGCGATCAACTTCCAATTTTGAAAATGGAAGTTAATTAACAGATTTCCCAGCGAAATAAATATTTTCCATATTGATCCAGTTTTCTCAAATTGGGGTAATTTTAACAAAAAAGTGTCCATCATGAATTGTTGTACATTTCAAAGAGCTTCGAGGCCATCAATTTTCTTCTAAATTCAAAATTTTAAGGTTTTTGAAAAACAAGTCCGTTTTTTTTTTTCAGTTTCAGTGCGTTCATGTCAGTTGGCTATGTTCGAATTTTCCTGCGAAATTATTACCTATTTATTCAGTTTTCACAAATTGGGCTGTTTTTTTTTCAAAAAATTGTCAATCATAAATTGTTCTAGAAGTTCAAAGAGCTTTATAGCCTTCTATTTTTTGTAAAGCTCGAAGATGGAAATTCAAGTCAATTTTTCTTTTTCTGCTTACTCGCGTTCATTGACTCTGTTCCAACTGTCTACTGGCTATGTTTTTTAAATTCAGTAACGATTGGCAAACACGACGATCGGCAAACGCCACAATTGAACAGCGAAAGTTTAAAGCTCACGAAAAACGTGATAGGCTTCTAGCTTCGAAATTGGTTTATTTTCTAGCTTCGGGTTTTTCTTTTCAGGTTCTCTAGAGGAATAAAAAAATTTACTGTTTGGTCCAGTTTTCCCAAATTGGGTTTATTCAGCAAAAAAGCGTCAAACAGAAACTGTTTTAGAATTTAAAAGAGCTTCAATGCCCTCTATTTCTTCAAATTTCGAAGATTTTTTTGTTAGTTTTTTTTCTGTTTCCTTGCGTTCATTTTTTGTTCAAGCTGTCTGTTGGTTCAGTTGTATTCATATCAGCTCGTGTTGTGTGGGTTAAGAAAATGTTTATTTTGTTTTGGTGCTATAGATGGTAATTGATCAGCATGCTGTTTTTTGCGTCATTCTATGAAATATAAAAAGTTTTAATAGGTTGAGTTTGGCAACCTAAAAGTTTCTCTTTTTTTCTCTGTAAATCTTGTAAATTGAGACCATGCTCTTAAGTTTTTCTTGTTAACAATTAACTGAGTTTGCTTCGTGTCCCAGGCATTCCCATCTAAATTGTTTTTGGAAGATTTTTTTGTTTTCAGAATTTTAGTGAAGGGTTAGATTTTTTCAAAATAAGGTTTAAGAAGCAATTTTCAGGTACAGCAATCTTTTTTTTGAAGATTCATAGGTGTGCGTGCGGGTACTGCTGTAGTTTTTTTATTATACAGCGACATCATTTCCTGTCTTTTTTATTTCATTCAGTTTCAAATTTGAATTATATGCTCTTTCTCATTTTTGGACTACTAATTGATTTCTGTTAAATTTGTCTCGGTTGATACTTCTGATGTGATTAATTGACGTCTAAGTTTTCTATTGCTAAGAGCTTTTCCTTTTTCTATTTCTTATCTTTTCCACGATTTAAGACAAGAATTGATTAAGAGTCGAGTTGCTAAAAGCTTTCGATTAGGAAGAAATTATGCATGATTTCGAAATCTAAAACATCTATTTATTTTTAGTGTTGGCGATTCATTATTGCTCAAGGAATAACAAAAATGACACATCTAACAAAATGGGAAAAACTCAACGTTTGAACACCCGAAAGAAAGTTGTATTGTACTTAATCAGAGGTTTTGCAATAGTGCTTTTTATGTTTTCATAATTATGGATTTGAATCGCTGAATGTTCTTTTTTGCCAAAGCGATTAGCAAAATTACATAATCGCTGAATTTTCCCAAAAATAACATAAAGAGTTGAATCAATTTATAGACAGATTGAACGAAGGGTGAATCGGGTAGAGTCAGACCAGCCGACGGATTTTGTCAACAGAATTTGGAAGAGCTCTAATGCTAAACTTTTAAATCAAAAGCCGCATTTGGGATAGCTATATAAAATGCTTGATGAGTTTCGACGTGAAATACCATTGTTTTCGAATATATTTCATATTAATACTGTCGAAAATGATTTTTTTTGTGTCGGCTTTTTTCCCGTTGTTTCTTATGATTCAAGTCGTTGTTACATTTTGATGGCCATCCGTTAGGCGCACCTCACGATTCTTGTCCAAATCTATAGATGTTTGGAAATCAGATCCCGATTTCTCAAACATTTTGATCGAAATCGGATGTTCGGCTCCTTCCTCAGAGCGCTGACATTTTTCGTCCGTGTCAGAAACAGCGCCTATCTTCTGGTCAAAGTTGAAAACTGTCTGTACAATATGGTCATCAGGAGGCGAAATGTATCCCTTTTTTCCTGGTCCTTGATGTTCTTTCTCGTAAAAGTGAATAGCAAAAAACAGACACAGTTCTCCGATCACAAGACTTCCAACTGTCACGCAAATCATATAGTTTCTTAAAGTGGTCGAATTGTAAAACGAGCAATGACCGCTTGAGTGAGACGAGGAACATGTCATCGAAAAGCTACCCCATTGGGTACAGGAGCTGTCGAAGATTTGACCATAAACAAGGGGTCCAGGAATCATTCCAAGGAGTCGGAAGAACACCCATTGGATTCCGAGAGAGATGGTTTTCCAGTCATCCTGGACTAGGCGGAGCAACGCAAAAATTCTAGGAACGGCGACCATGCTCGCAACGAGAAAAGTGATAAAGAAGATGGTAAATGCAGGGACTCTCCAGTAACATTCTCCTGGTTCACAAAGACCGACGTTGATGCTGATGTTTTGCTGGCCGCAAGAGCCCTAAAATTAAAAAAAAATCATGTCATTTTAATATGTAGGCGTCCAAATGACCAGTTTCCATGATATCAAGAGCTGCGGTCGACTATCAAATGCCCATGCCTTATCTTTTGCCGCAGAATTTTCTAAGAGGCTCCGTTATCTTTTTTTAATGACTAGCATCTTGGTCAAAGTTATGTGCAGCTTTCAGTTCTAAATCATTTATGGTTCGACTTTATGTTAGCTTCTTCTCAGGGTGCTAGATCGCAAAACTTGAAAGTTTAAGGCAATGGATGATTGAAGCTGCTGTAAAAATATCTAGTTATCAAAACAATTTTTCCTGTTTGGAACCAAAAACAGTATTAAATACATGTGCTTATTTATCGGCCCTCGAAGCTCTTGTCTAGTCTGCTCTTAGTTCTCAGCCATAGTTTTCTAGCTGTCAGAATATTGTTATTTCTTTGGGTTACTATGAAGTCCAATTGAACAAAGATTGACTTTGTTGTCATGTCCTATAAAATAAGGTCTAGATCAATTGGTTCATTCAACCACGTTTCTTTCAAGTGTGTGCTATCAGAAAACTTCACCTCGATCATGAAAGCTATTTCAAGTTATCGAAACTGCAAATATGAACAATTTATTTGTTCAAAACTCAATGTACTTGAAGTTTTGCAGATTCTGCAGCATTTATCATCTCCTTAATCAGGCAGATTTTTTATAACCGTTGAAGAGCTCCCTGAAAATTCGAATGCCAGTGTTTATAGTTGGCAGTGGCTTAGAGCGTGATTTGAAGCCCAAATGGGCGCGAAATAACTGATCATCCTTCAGCAAAATTTTGCTTCAGTTGTGGCCTTGTTTGGGAGAGCGTTGGAGATAAGACAAGCTTGATTCTTGTTTTAAGCTTTAAGAAGTTAGGCTTTAAGAAAGTAATGTTAAGTTAATTTTGTGGCTGACAACTTTAATTCGATATTGAGTTCATTCGCCCGTCAGATCTCACGTCATTTCGATCTCCCGTCAGCGAAATGTTTAGTTTGCAGCTCACCAGGGGTCCTAGAACTTAATTTTAGTAAGTCTCTTGAGAAATCTTGGTTATAAATCCTAACGGTAAACAGACAATGGCCTAATTGTAAATACTTATGTTTAAGACCATCTAAGCTTGGTTTGTATAATTTTGGCCAAATTTCAAGGTATCAGACAACATTGGGGTCAGGTATTGTGGCTAGAATGAAGCTCAAGGTAGACATATTTCAATCACTTTCGATAAGCATTTTTCGGTAGGTTACTTGGATACGCGAGCGTGTAAGTGTGTGTGTGTGTGGGGGGGGGGGGGGGGGGGATTGTACGGTTGATTTTGCGTCGGTTGTGCTTTAGTGAAGACTGAAGACAGGATGTCTGATCAATGTAACTGTGTATCCAGCGCTCAGAACATTATCTCTGATGTTGTACAGCTTGCTATTTAGTATATGATACTAGTAGTCTTAGTCTCTGGATGTTATACTGGTGCGATATATCAATTCTTTGCAGTATAACGACGCAGCTTAGGTTCTCTAATATGAGATCACGATTATGTTTTCATATTTTGTCAGTGACAGAACTAGTTTAAAACGGTCATCATCATGATAACCAACTGACCTCCTGAACACAGTCGAGTATGCATGGGGAGAATATGTTGAACTGGTTGTTCACGCAGTGGATCTGCATCTCGCTTTGTTCACACTCTCCTTCAGATGCATTCAGTCCACTCACTTCCTTCAACTGGTCCACCTCGTCCAGCATGTAAACATGTCCGTAGGGACATCTAAATTTAAATAAATTTAAATAGTTAGTTGTCTGTCATAAGAAAAGTTTCCTAAAATGACATTTCAAATCACAGTTACTAGAATATGTACCAAAAATTGACATCCACTTGTTGGTTCCGACATTTTTTTCTGTAGTTTGAATTTCGGAATATTTTATTTTCAGGCAATTAGAACCTGTTTTTACATGTAAGTAGAAACTTCTGATTTGAAATAAGTCAAAATAGTTAGTATTCACTATCCGGGGCGAATCTAGGATGTTCTCGAGGGTGTGTGTTTTGGTTTTTTTAGGTCGTCCAAATTGATTTCCCGAGCTCTCTCCCAATGCACTAAAAAGACCCTGTTTTGACAAAATTTTTGCGCCGCAGGCCAAATTTTTTAAAACCAGGCCAAAAGCGTTTTTAGGCACTTTTTGGAAAATTTTGGCCAAAAAAAGCGTTTTTTTGGCGCGCACTCCCTTCTCAAAATTACTATATATTGGCGCCAAAGACGCCGTCAGAAAAATGTTAGGGTTCGTCAGCGAAAATGGATGTCTCAAACTAGTTCAAAGGGGAACCCTTTGGGTCAGCAGGGGGTCGAATCAGCCTAATTGTTGTGATAAACTTATTAAATAGATAGATATGTCTCGACGAACCGGATAAACATCTTATCTTGGGTAGCCCTTGTCTACGAAGGGATTTTAGAGATCCGGTTGATGGAAATCGAAATTGACAGAATCAGATAAAGAAGATAAACCAGCTCATTTGAGAGTGGTTACGACAGCAAGAAAAGACACGAACAATTTCCCGGATGTTATCCAGCTCATTTTAGAGCGGAAACGACAAAGAGAATTTGGAAATATCTTTAAACAAATCTACCAAAATCCAGCTCATTTTAGAGCGGAAACGACCAATAATTCCCAGCAAGACAATTGAAATATGTCGTCTCTCCACTGTACAGTATGTCAAAACGCTTTAACCAATCAATCGGTGAAATGCGTCGGTTGTCAAGCTTCTGCCCACTCTGCGTGTATTGGCCTCAACACTGCCGATAAGGTGGTTGGGCACATTGAATGGAGTTGCCCAGATTGTGGAACCTGTAAAAGAGATCTTTTCCGAGTTATTGATGAACTGCGACAAGAACTGTTCTCAATAAAGACTATGGCGCAAGATGTACACGAATTAAAGTCTGAGCTGCTATCGCTGAAGCAATATCGTGAACCAAGTAGTATAATTGAAAAGAACAAAACCAATTATGCTGGGGCAGCGAAGTTTAATCTGAATTCTTCGGCATTCATCAGAAATGCTCGTGAAAGTGTATCCTCAGAAGCTGGTAGCTCGAGGGTTACGAAGCGAAAAGGCTCCAAAGATAGAAATGACCGCAGACCAAAGAAACTACTAATTACGGGAGAAGTGGTAACAGAAGCACTCAAAGGTGTAGAAAAGCCACCACCACGACGCCATCTCTATGTTGGAAGAATTAAACAGACAAATGATGAAAGTGATATAGTCGCATGGTGTCAAAGTAAAGGATTTCCTCTGAATCATATCAGGGAAATAACAAAGGAAAATTCTCGCCACAAAAGTTTCCACTGTGTATTTGACGGCGAACATGCAACAATCATTGATCAACCTAATTCTTGGCCGGAAAATGTTGTAATTAACAGGTACTATCTTGATGCAGAAGCCAGAACCTGGCTCAGAACTTTGAAAAGCGACTGACTAAAATCAAATAAAAAACCCGAGTCTCAATCGAATGCTATGAAAGTTGGTGTAATTAATATACGTTCTCTAGCGAAAAAAGTAAATCAAATACAGAGCATATTGGCTATAGAACAAGTTGATATCTTGATCATAACTGAAACCTGGCTTAAGCCGGATACGGAATATATTCTAAATCAGTGCATAGACTCTTCAAATGAATATCGATACCATCATGTTTCACGAACGGCTAAAATAGGTGGAGGTGTTGCCATAATTTCTCGCGAAGAACTACAGGGTGAAAGAATTTTAAGCCATCTCTCGGACGATGGTGAATTCTTGGTAATTACGGTCGTGACTAGAAAAGTCAAAATAACAATTGCAGCAATATATAGACCGCCGAGTGGAAATTATAACGAGTTTTTTAATGAATTGACTGAAAATATTCTTGCTTCATCAATTGAAACCCAAATTCTCCTCCTGGGTGATTTTAATTTGGATCTAGAAAACAGACGTTGTGCCAAATCCAATACATTTTGTTCGATTCTACTGGAATATAACCTAGAACAGATTGTTAAGAAAGCAACTCACGAATACGGGAAAATTCTAGACCTCATAATTTGTTCAAACCCGGAATTGTGCTCACCCGTTAGAAATGAGCACGTTGAATACTCTGATCACCATCTATTGACGTTCACTTATGAAATCGCAATTCAACGGAAGGATAAAACCAGATTGACTATTTATGATTGGAACAATACAGACTGGAAACATTTAGAGACGGAAATAGATCAGAGTTTAATCTTGAATCTGAACACCAGTGACCCGAACGAGATGGCGGAGAATTTTATCGAAATTTTGCAGCTGCTGAAAACTGATTATGTGCCAACTAAGACCAAAGTTGTCAAAAACCGATTTTGTAATTTTTACGATAAAGAGTTAGCAGACGTAAAACGAAAACGTAGAAAATTAGAACGCGTAATGCGTGTAAATCCTGGATTAGAAAACGAAACAGCTTTCAAGGAGTATTTAAAGAAATGTAAAGATCTGTTTAGAGAGAAGAAATTGATATATTTTTCCAGGCGCTTTGAGCTTTCAAATAGCCATTCGCTCAAGTTTCGTGAATTGAAACGCCTTGCTGGAGAAAAACAACAAAACGTTCTACCACTGATATACTCCAGTGATTATGAATTAGCTGAAAACTTCAACCAATTTTTCATTCAGAAGGTTAGAAATTTAGTGGCAAATGTGAAAAGTAATGGCATCTCGCCGCCACTCTTTGCTTTCACTGCAGTTTCTTCTTTCCAATTCCAATATGTGACTATAGATGAACTAGAAGAAGCAGTAAGAATGGTTTCAAACGCGAACTCACGAGAAGATATACTGAAAACTATAGATATGAAAAGAATCGCACACTCGTGGAAAGATTATTCCATCATTATGATAAACAATTGCATCGATCAGTCCAAATTTCCAAAGTGTCTCAAGAGAGCGGTGATAACTCCTCTCTTTAAAGACCACAAACTTGACCAAAACGTTTTAAATTCTTATAGACCAATAGCGAATCTGATGTTTATCAGTAAAGTTTTTGAAAGAATTTTATATAAACAGCTCGATCAATACCTTAGCTCCTATAATCTTCTAGATGAACACCAATCTGCTTACAGGAAGCATTTTTCAACTGAAACGGCTCTGCTAAAAACTACAGATGATCTACTGACTAGTCTCGACAACAAGAGACAGGTCCTTTTGATAGCCCTTGACCTTTCAGCTGCATTTGATACCATTGATCATAAAACATTGAGAAAGATCATGAAAAATCGGATTGGAATGACGAATGATGCAGTGGATCTAATTCTTTCCTATCTAGAGAATCGGACTCAAATTGTTGCTATCAATGATGTTTTATCGAATTCTCAAGAACTCGAATTTGGAGTGCCTCAAGGTTCTCTTCTGGGACCCCTCCTGTTCTCAATCTACCTGACACCATTGAACGATATTATTGGCTCAACTAAATTTTCATACCAAGTGTATGCCGATGATACTACTTTATACTGTGAAATTAAAAATGAGAGTGAAGTAGCAGAAATAGAAAGATCTCTGGTTATTATTTCGAACTGGTTTTCGTCCATGGGGCTTATGTTAAATGAATCAAAAAGCCAAGTAATTAACCTAGCCACTAGTAAGTCAAAAGGTCTAACAAACGGTTCAATACTCATTGAAAATTCAACGGTTAAGCTGATGAAATCAACAGAAAACTCTGTGAAGTCTTTAGGTTGCCTCATTGACCGATCCTTGTCATTGAAAAAACAGATCGATTCCGTGTGTGGCGCCAGTTACCACAGTCTCCGGAAACTATACAGCATACGTTTCTACCTTGATTTTGAAAATAGAAATATGTTGGCAAGAATGCTAGTCTTAAGTCGATTAGACTACTGCAATAGCTTGTACTCGAGCTTACCAAATTATCTGCTCTACAAGTTGCAAAAAGTCCAAAATAGTGCCTGCAGATTTGTTTTCGGTTTGAAGAAGTCAACGAGTATTACTCCTTATCTACATGATCTACATTGGTTGCCCATAAAATCTCGAGTGATTTTTAAAGTCTTGACAATCGTACACAAATGCATTTTCAATCCTCAAATCGTTCCGTCTTATCTGAGTAAATATTTTTCACTACAAAAAAGTTCCTCCCGTTTCAGTGAAAGGACCATGGTCATTAAGAAACCACTGGTTAACACGAACTATGGAAAAAGGACGTTTAGATTTGCTGCCGCACACCATTGGAATAGTTTACCATGTAACCTTAAACTACCAAATGAAACTGAATTTCGTAAACAGTTGAAAACGTATTTGTTTAACCAGTATTACTATGAGACTTGTTTCAGTTAAAGGTTGCTAAAATGACTGAAACTAGAAAGGTTGGAATTCAAAAGCTAAACGAAACCTTGCGTCTAAGAAATGTTCATGTTGAAACCAGGTTTCTCCCCAAAAGACGGATAATATTGAGCTCTGATAAGATCAAGAGAGTGACATATGCTGTTTTGGGATCATCGCTAGTTTATGGGATTTTTCTGCCAGATTCAGTGACAGTTTCGTGCCCTGGTGGAACTCTCTCAACCCTTTGTAGCGATCAGTTTCTCAATGATATGAAAAACTTGGATGTACAAACAGTGCTCATAATGGGAGGAACAAACAACCTGTTTGACCGTTCAGGGCGCCAGTCATTGGGAGCGACTGAAGTAGCCGAGGAGATGGAGAGTGCTATTTTTAGACTCCTTGACTGCAATTTCGAAGTTGGCGTCATGTCACTTATTAGCCGGGAAGGTGAACGCTCTCTTATCAGGAGAGTGAATAAATGCTACAGAAATCTAACGGCATGGTATAAAATCCCGCTCTTTAAAACTGTAAAGTTCAGCTATCGGAGGCATGTTTGCGCAGATGGACTTCACCCCACAGCAAATGGCGTGCGCGAACTTGCTAAGGACTTTTATGACGCCTTCAGAAGCATAGAAAATCCAATGGCTGTGAAACGAAGGCAAAGAAGGCGACGACGATGAAACGCCCAGCTCATTTTAGAGCGGGTCCGATTTTTAACCATCTTCAAAGAACATTTTCTGTTTAAATCCCAGCTCATTTTAGAGTGGGTACGGCTATCGACAGAAACGAACTCATCTTTAGCAGAGCGACTGATTATTTATACGACAAAACTGGTTTTTAATTAAACTCAAACACCTTTGAATTCAAGAAATTGGTGTCGAAATAACATATGTGATGATGATGATGATGATGAATCCCTGAGGGGGGGGGGGGGGGGGGGGGGGTGTCAATACTACACCGTGTCAAAATCCTATACTTAAAAAAGGTTCTATAAAATGGAATTTCTCAAAATGTTGAACCATATTTTCAAACGTCGGATAATTTCTCAATGACTTGCGTCCATTTTTTAAGTTTTGCTCAAAATATCTTGAGTGTTGTACCTGATGATGAAGAATAGAGCACAAAGTATGATGCAGGTTCCCTGTGCGTAGAAGGTCATCTTAATGGTGCCTAGACAGTTGAGCTGCATGCGTTTGATCAGGTATCCGGAAATGATGGCTCCAATGGCTGCCGCAGGCACACTCACTCCGCCTGAAAAATAACTTTATAAATATTTGGAATGTTTTTTTTTAGCCGACAGATAAAGAAGCAGAATTATGAGTAGCATCTGCCATGTCGAGTTTCTTACATCTCTAATATATAGAATTTAAGGAAAACAAAAATCGAGTTCGCGGGATGTATAGCCATTCTCCTTAGAATAAAAGTTGGTATGTGGTATAAATTAAAAGCATTTGATCTGAGATCAGTTGGGAAAATTCAACCGAGTGACACGGTTTACAAGTAATGTAAATGGCAAATAAAAGTGATAAACGCGGTCGCTGTCTTCCTGAATGTGGAAAAAGTCAATAAAAATTAAGGTAGAAGAAGATTAAAAGTTATGACACAGTTGGTCTGGTAGCTTGATTGAAACCCAATAAGGGAACATACCATCACAAATGAGCGTTCGGCAGTGAAATTAGCCTAAAAATGGAAGATGAGCTGGAGCATCTTTGGTGGAAAAAAATTTATTGGTTTCCCATCTGTCTATGAACTTTGTCTCTGATTATTGACTTGTAACGGGCTTTGCTTTCTTGTTTCACGTTATTGCCTATGACAGCTGGGTTCAGGTTTTTTTAATCTTACTTGATTTTTCACGAAAAGATTAAGAAATTCAGGGGATATTTTTAACTATCCCTTACTCCCTATTTTATCTAGTAACGAACATCCTGACATATAATAAACTAATCATAAAGCTCAAGATTTGGAAATTTTTGTACATTTTTTAGCGCGCGTAGCTTGAAAAAAAAATTATTATTACTAATCAAACGGTTAAGCATATGCGAATATTGAAGCTATTTAATACAAATTCGTCTACGAGTGATTCGTTTGATATTTTCATCACTTTTTTTACAGATTCATTTGATTTCACTCTAGAGAACATAAAAAGGCAGATCTGCCTGTCGAAGGATGTATCTTCAAGTTAGAATTTCCCCTCTTTTACTAAAGAGGCGGGGGATGTTTGATGAGATCCAATAGACTTTTAAGGTGGTAAAGATACCTGCAACAAAAGCGGCTATTTGCGCAATCATCCGATACTGCGTCTCGAAGAACTTCGGAATGAAAGCAGTTAGTCCGGCTGTTGTCATATGTAGCACACTGCCGTGTAGCAGCAAGCACAGAAACGTCTTGTCTTTCATGAGACACTTCATGCATAGCCAGAATTCGGCTAGTTGCAACTGGTGCGCAGTTTTCACAGTATAAGCACCTCCTCCGTGTGAATTCTCTGGATCAGTAGAGGAAGCATCCGGGCTGTTGGGAGCCTTAGCAAATGATGTCAAGTTGGCAGCATGTTCGTTGTCAGCGCTGTCTTTGACACTCAAAACTTCGCCTAAAACGAAACATTTTGTTATATTGTCCATGAAATTTTGTTCAAAGAAAATCTTTCGCTATGATTTTCCTGGTATAGTTGATCAGTATTCATTGCAACCCCACTTTTTTCATGTGTAAGAAACAATTTTTGATGCAAGCGACAAAAAATAAGAGATTAAGGTGAGTGAATTTCAATTGTTGAATTGATTTTCAGTGATTTAGAACGAATTTCCGCTCTGTCGGGGACTTATTCACTTCCAATTATTTCAGGAAGAGTCGTGTTGCCTTCTTTTGAATTATAATGGAGAACAGTGTCTCCTAGAATTATGTATACGGGAAAATGTGACAAGTTTGCTAAGTACAACAGAAATGTTGTCTGATTTTAGAGTAGGGTCTTCATTTTGTGAACTTAATCCGTACCAGACTTCATGTGGGTGGTATTATATTTTGGCAGTAAAATGTGAGAATATACGCTTGAAGTTGCATATTAGCGTTTATGGAAATTTCCCAATTTGGGTAGTTTACCCGGTGTAGTTAAATTTAATCAAGATTGGCTATTCTGGTTCGTCTGGAGATCTGATTCTCGACAGGTGCTTGCCAGACCTCGTTTGGCAGAATGGCTTCTCCAGGGTATTTGGAGTTAAATTTAATCTGGGTTCTAATTCCAACTCGAAAGCGAAGTCATTTATCCTTTTCGTGGAATCGAGCGTGCGTGAAATAATTCAAGCACCATAAAAAGCCAGGTGGCTCCAAGTTACCTTAAGTGGTTAAATTGAAAGTGGCAGAGGGTTTTTGAGCCAAATGCAGACATATTAGAAAAAAGTGGTCGCCAATTTTATTTTCCGAAGACTTACTTAAAGCTGAAAAGCGTATTTATCCTAGCTTTCCGCGCCACAAGCCATCGTCCGGAATATACTTTATCTTTTAGTTGAGCCAAGTACGGGAGCGAGCACCTGAAGAAATGCCGCTACGAAGAGCTTAAAGGCTAGAATGGTGATTCCTTTGCCAATTTATCGGTTTTCGGCTCGTTCGGTTGGTGGGAGGATGAATGCGAAATTAGGCTGTCAGATTTGACTGATCGACTTTGAAAGGTTCTTTTTATACCAGACTAGTTGCATTGCATTACCCTATCTTCCGGACTTGTCTATTCATCTAACTAGTCGCTGACGGTAGTCAGCTAATTCTCCTGTCTAAATCCAACGTCAGCCTTTGGACTACAAAAACTTGATCAATATAAAATGAAAATTTTGTGGCGATATTGAATGTGTGTGCAGATTCTTTTGTCTTTGCAATTTTTGCTTTTTTAACAACAAAAAATGGCGAAAATGAAAAGTTCTCTTTTATGTGGAAATTTTCCTTTGAAGAGTCTTTAGCTGATAGAGTCACCAGTGGAAGTAAGGAGGATGCCACCCCCCCCCCCCCCTCCCTCAGGGATTCGACCCCCTGCCGACCCAAAGGGTCCCCCTTTGTACTATTTTGAATTATCCATTTTTGGCTGATGAACCAAAAATTTTTCGAAAGTGTCTTCGGCGCCAAAAAATATACTAATTTTTGAAACTATATTTGTAAACAGTAATGCAAAACTTTGTTTGTGCAGCTATGGTTTGGAATTACTCAAAGTCGTCACTAACTTTTGACAACTGATGCAGTTTTGTCGGTTGAACTAGCTTGTTTAGCAAACGTCTGTTTCAAGCTGTTTTGTGACTGTTTCCTTGAATGACATCTAACTGGAGTGGTGAGCTCTTTGCTGGCATCCATGGTCTTGCCTCGGTTGGGAAGTGTTAGAAGAACTGGGACTAGAATGAGAGCGAGAGCACATTCTAACATGAAGCCCATCCACCAGGCCCCCATGAAGCTGTCATCCTCAGTCGACATAGCCCAGCTCCTAAACATTTTCACCTCAATGATTTTTATAACATGTTTCATTAGGTCAGCATCAGTAACTTGAACCTAAGCTTGTGATTAAATGTTTTTTTTTCAAGATGTCAGTCCTAAATTGTTCTTGAAATTCAAAGAGCTGTAAAGCAATTTATTGTTTTTCTTCTGAAATTGTAAAGTTGAAGTATTCTTCAATAAATTGAGTCATTTTTTTCTGTTTCCTTGCCTTCGTTATTCTTTTCCACCTGTCAGTTGGCTTTGTTTGAATTTGGCTATTTTCAATTGGTTTTCAAAGTTGATTAAAAGTAACTCACGAGTAACTCAAAAGTCAAAAGTAACTCACGAGAAGTCTATTGGCATGCTGAGAAATGATCCACTGAGAACAAATCCAAGAGCAGGCGCCAGAAGACCAATGGCATGGAACCAGCCTTAAATAAAGTGAAACAATGAACGATATTTCGAGCCTTAATTTTCCAGATTTGACCGCAATGGTGTCACTGTCTCCAATTAATACCTGCACCGCAGAAATTCTGTTCTTACTTTTGATATTTGTTCATTATAAACAGATGATTTAAAGGTGCTGAAAAAAGATTCAGCTGATTGCGACCTACCTAAAGACCACCCTGTGTTTTCGTCGTGTTTCGATCCCTGATCCAGGTATGCAATAGCAACAGTCTGAATCGGGGTCGACCCCACTCCAATCAGGAACATCCCAGTTACGAACAGCCACTTGACCCAAGCGGGCTCCTCCCTCTCCGCCTCAGAAGACGTGGCTCCACCATTGGTAATACATCCACTAGGATCTTGAAATGCGCCCGATTTTTTAACATGGGTTACATTCAAAACACTAAACGGCTGTTCTCGGAAAAACTCGGCTGATGAGTAGCAAAAAGCACCGATAGCTATGAGACCGGCGCCCATAGCCATGATAAGAGGTTTGTTCCCTTTTCGACCGTAGAAACTGACCGGAATAACCAGTAGGACTATTGCAACGTGAAACGATCCCTCTATCAAGCCTGTGAATTTACTGTTGAAATTGAACAACTTCTCCAGCGTCGAGTAACAGCTATTGACAAATCCGGTTGTGAGTGAGGATTGAACCCCGACCAAGTAGCAAATGGCGAATAGTTGCCAGCCAGCGCGTGAATAAAGAGGAATCGACGAATTTTCAGCCCCGAGGTTTTCAATTGATTTCTTCCGTTTGTCCTTCTTGTGAGCATTTTCTTCAAAAGATCCCTCGCAAAGATCCTTTGCGTCTGAATGAGTAGTCATTGCACCGTCGTGAGCACCTTGAGTTAGAAAGTATTCTTCGGATTGGTTTCCTTTTGAACTTCGTTTGAATTTGTCCCAGAAAGTTGACATTATTGACCGATTATTTGAAGTAGCTTGCCCTTGAGTGTCGAATTGATGTTCGTTTGTGGATGAACTTTCGGTGGTCCTTTGGTGCGAGGCTTCTTTAATAGTCATCTTGGATTCTTCTGGTTTGTTGGCAACTCTCTTTGGTTAATATTGGTTGTCACTTTCGCCAGAAGCTGGTGTTTGTTCAAACTCCCTGCCAAGAAATAGAGATACAATTGGCACCTGGATTTACCAATCTCACGAATTTTATCGTTTTTATTTTTGTGTTCAACTCATAAATCAATGAATCTAAGCTAGTGCGAGAAGACTTTCGAAGCGAATTTAAGAAATCTTTCAGAAGATGGCACTAAATGTGACGCCAGTATATGAATAAATAAAGAGTAAGTCCTTGGATTGTTTCTTGATAAGTGAATTCGTTTCTTTGGTTTGATTTATCGGAAATGCTCGAGCGATTGATAGAATGTGAGTTCAGTCGAAATTGGTATTTTTTCTTTGTTCCGCAAATGTCAGCGTGTTTGTGAGGAGCTGTAACAACGCATGGAATGGTAAATACAATTGAATAGTCCTCCTTTCAATCTTGCTTCGTGAAATTATGGTATTATCAGCCAATAAGATTACTTAGAGCCAAACAAATTACAGTGAAACAGGGATAAAAGGTGATTGTCTGTTCTCACATACCATTATATGAAGAAAATTGGTAAGTCTAAGCTTTTGGTCAAAAATTATTTGAAAAGACAATTGCGTAGCAGCAATATTTTCTGTTGAAACCGGAAAACTCTCCTTTTTTGTACAATGAAAACGGCGATAATTCAGAGACTTATCATTTTCAAACGTAGCCCTGTTACAATTGTAAAATAGCAATGTTTGAAAATCACAATTCTCTGAATTAGCGCTGTTTTTTTTTGTAATAGAAATGGCGAGTTTTCCGGTTTCAACGTAAAATATCGATTTTTAATATAGAATACAGGAATAACAGAAAGCTCAGAATTGACTTTTTTGCTCAAGTAATATTGCTGTCTAGATAGATTAGCTGTATTTGACGTCATAACGTCAAATAGTATGTGGGACAGAAAAATGTTTTCCAATGAAGGCAAAATTTCAATTGATTGTACGTGAGTTTCCGTCTTTTCAGTTTCAATGTCCACATCTTAAGGCATTAATTTTTCACTTATGCTTTTGGGCCAAGGTGTTGCCATGCTTCCAGCTGCCATAGAGTTTGTCATTAGGCATGTTTCGAGTTTTAATGATCGTTTCCAAAAGTATGGAGTTTTTATCGCCTGAAATGTTTTTGCTTTTAAAAATGACGGCATGTCGTATGTCGTCTCTGAATGCCAAAATTGTTAGATGTATTTTGTCGAAACTCAGAAATCACTCCTTATGGAAGCCTATTTAAAGTACTCTTTTTGCGGTTTTGACTAATAAGCAATGAACTGACTTCGCAAAAGTGCCGGAAAAAATCCTCTGAGGTGTCTGAAGTCATTGTTCCGAACCCTAATGGATTGGGATGCGAGTTCGGTTAGTTCTCAGCGATTTCAGCTACTACCAATATAAAGCAAATATGATTCATTCAACCGTAATTGGGATTTCGACAATAGGTTTTTTCATATTATTTCAAGTATTTTCTAGCCTATATTTTTTATCGCCTACATTTTTTATTCGAGCCTAATTTTTTTAATCAAGTTTTAAGTATAAAAGTTTCATAATTAAAGGAAAAAGGAAGTTATGCAATTAAAGGAAAAAATTGAAAAATTGATACATCAATTTCGAGATTTGTACACGCTAGACAAAAGATTTTAAGAGAGTTTTTCCGGTGAAATTTGAAAACAGGTAGATTCAAACATTACCGCACTTAAATAGGTTTTGAACCATTTCCCCCCCCCCCCCCCCCAGTTACTCAGAAAAAATGCTAATTTTAGCTTACTCCTGAAGCTTCCTTGACAGGCTCAGTGCTTTTTGAGTCCTCCCAAGTGTACTAACTGTGAAATACTTGGAATCGATATTATTATATTGTTCTGTATAATTGTTGTAATTTTTCAATTCAATTTTGAGCAGAGAAAACTTAATTCAGGTTGTTGTTTTTTTTATTGTCAAAATTTTTGTTAGTGAAGAAAAAACTTGAAAAAGGGGTCAATTTATGTCATCTTAATGGCTTCTGATTTTTTTCTTCGTCGTAGTTTTTCCGGACGTAGTTTCCATCTATCTAGCATATTAATTCGGGTTATATTCGGTAGAAATGATTTCAAGTTAATGGCTTATCGTACTTGTTAAATTTTTTTGGAAAACAAGGACAGCGTGTTACTGTGCAGGTAGCACAGAATATTCCGACCCTTGTCTTAAAGTAAAAAAAATCAATTTTTAAAAACAAGAAAATCATGAATAATTCTGTTTAAGTCTTTTTCTTTTTCATGCTGAAATCTTTTTAATTTTTTGAAGTGTTTGATCTCCAAAATTGTCTTGAACAACTCCAAAATTGAATTTACTCAAAAAAAAAATTAAAATTAAGCTTAACTAAGCTAAATGGCTTAATCCTGCTCGCTCGCTTCATTCGCTCAAAATAAGACCAAAAATTAAAAGTTTCAAATGGGTTTTCTTGAAACTGATGAAAAAAATAATGTTCAAAATGTTTTAATGTCGCTCATCTCGACTGAAAATGCTTTAAATTTTTCTGGGTATATTTATGGACCCATTCTAATACTTTTTTGAGATACCTGAGTAAAAAAAATAAAACAAACCGGAAGACAAAGTCCCTCCCCATTTTCAATGGTCGGACCAACAAAGGTTTGATGATCGATTGAGTCCGGGCTAGACCTGTTTTTTTTTGACACGGGAAGGTTTCTGTTCTGAAAATCATTTTTGAGTTAGCGTATATCTGCTTATTTTTGTCGGCTTAGTTACCTCAGCTCGCTTTTTTGGAAAAAGTTTAGCCATTTTAAACATTTCAAAACAATATATAGTTTTATTAATGGTGCAGGTAACTGAGTTCCAAAATTGTTTTTTCCCCGCTTTTTATGCCATTAAGGTTTCTTTGGCGTTAACAGTTTCGCTTGTTATTTTGCTAGAATTGCGTCATATTATGTCGTTTGGAAAAAAAAGAAAAGAACTCGAAATTAAAAACTCATTGAAGCTTTGAATTTTTAATGGCTATTTTCTCCCAGACTAAATGGGCGTCTACCTAAGTTTAATCTACTCGGTAGTTTTTGTCTTAATGTTCACTGCATTAATGTAAAGTTAAAAACAAAAATGCTTTTTCTGAGAATCTAATATTGCGGCATACCTTTGGTACAAAATTTTATTGTTTCAAGCTGGCTTATTTAATCATAGTTCGCGCTAAGTGGCACATAAGCCGCAAATTGATTTCAAAATGTTGGATTTGTTGTTGTATATAAGGTAACTTTGCTGTTTCTGTGATCTCTCTATCCCATTCAAACCCGCCGTTGAAATCATTTAACCACTCTTCTGAACGATTAGATGTTTTTCGCTGGCGTACGGGATTTAGAAGTTGAAGTAAAGACATCTATTTTGGATCCAGTTTTGTCTACTTAGGAAAAGCGATCACAGCATTTTAAAATAGTTAGCTCTGAATAACCGGATCCGTGGTTTTTGTGAAACTAGTCGTTTTTGTCGAAAATGATGTACAAAAATTTTGATTTTCACAATTTCTTCGAACTAGATTGTGTGTACGTGATTGTAAAATGTTGAGTTATGATTTCTGTCACCGTTTTGGGTTTTCGGTTGCGATGAGTATCCGCCTTAAATATCAATGTTATCCGTTGCTTACCTGTGCTGTTGATAAACCGGAGTCATCAAGAAACTGAAAGAATAAACTCACTCTTAGAAGCACCTTACTCTCGCAAATGGATCTAAGTACTAAGTCGATGGAAGAAATAAATGGTTAAATTACCGAATAATTAGTTGATGTTTTGGTTACTATTTCGTAGAATGTCAACAACTCTGTGATTGCTTTCTGAGTCAAATTAGTGCAACATCTTAGGTTTGCCAACTTTCGGTAAGGTTAATTATATTTGCCCATTAGATATTCGGATTATCTGATGGTTTGGAGCTGATGTTTCAAAAGACACACAAGTTTGAGAAAGGTTAAAGGAATCAAAATGGCTAGCGGTGGTGAAATGGTGAAACATTACCCAGCCCAGAAAAACAACCAGCCAATTGCATGTAGATCTTATCCAGGGTTTAGACAGCGGTGCTCCCTAATGAGCTGAACATTTTAAACAATTCAAATCAAGCTGAAATTCCGGTTTAGAAGGAATAAGAAATTTGAACTGACTGCAATGGTAGTGTGTTATTTTAAAATGCGTTTTTCCTTTAGAATTTTTTTAATTGACACAAGTGTTTCCTGGGAGAGTTGTCTCGAGCTTTTCAAAGCTCCGGTCAGAAAAGAATTTAATAAATATCTGGCTTTGAAGGTGTGACTTGTTTTTCTATCACAAATAACCAATATACAAAAGCGACACAAGCCCAGGTAGTATCAAAATGAACTGGACTTAAAGTGGAATGAAAAATGAATTCAAGTATAAGTACGAGCCTTCTTTTTTTTTTCAGCCTAAGTCGCAAACATTGGTGCCACTTTATAGCTTTTTGATAGCATCTGCTTTGTCATTCAAATAGTAATAAGTTAGGACGGTTTATGCATTTTTAATTTATCAAATGAACCGAAAAAAGTGATTTGTTTCAATTACCATAGCAATAATGAAAACTCGATTTCAGAAATGTTGTTACTCAATATATCTCGCAATTTTTTGAGATGCATAATTTAAACACGATTTGTTACATGTAACGTTACTGTGGATGCCTTCAGTTAGTTATATTCCAAATTATTACTGGCAAAATTGAGTCGATTTGCGTTTGATGACATTTTTGCTGAATGGCTTGGCAATTTTTTTTATTTCTACTTTTTTTATTTCACGTGATAGGGCTGCTTTTTGGTCGTGTTCTTGCAAGTGTTTGCGAAGCGCAACTTCTCTTCTGCTTATATACTTAATTACGGGCTTCACTATCTCGCCTTGTTTTAGCTTTATTAATATAATATTTTTGCAAATTTAACGAATTTTTTCACGTTTAAGTTATAACGTATAATGGTTAAGATGTATATATTTTTTCGCTTTTCTATTTGAGCTCAGTGTTTATTTCACCAATTATGAAATAGGCCAGTCAATAGTGAGATGCTGTAAGTTTTCTCCCAGGGTCGCGATTTTGTTTACGAGATACGACCTTCTTTCATGATTTTTTTTCAGTAAGTTTCAGAAAATTTATATTTAATTACCTTCAAAAAATTTGGAACTCTTCACCCTGTAGTTTTTCAGGGTCTCCTCTAGAGATGCAAATCTAGCCTTTGAATGTGACTGCTCAAATGCTTTTAGTTTCCGAGATATTTAGCTTTTTATGATTTTTTCAAAAAGGGTGCTCTAAGGGGTTGCGATTGTTGCCTCTAATTGTGATTCTAATCCTTCAAGTTTCCGAGATTTGACACTTTTGTATGATTTTTTCATGATATACTTTATGCTTTTTTTATGATATACTTCACAAAGTTTCAAATTCCCAACCCTGTAGTTCGGTTATTTTAGGGTGCTCTAACGGGTTGCAAATCTTGTCTCCAAATGGGACTTCTCGAATGCTTTAAGTTTCCCAGATCTGAAGTTTTTAAGATTTTTTCATGAAATTTTGAGAGAAAGAAATTTTCAAGAAATCTGGACTCCAAACAGGACTGCTTAAGATCTTTTACTTAGCTAGATATCACGTTTTTCTGATCTTTGTAAAATTATCAAAAATTTTAAATTGAAAAAAATTTAAGGTTTGAAACTGTTGACCTTTTAATGGGGTGCTGTCAGCTTACTACTAGCAGTTAAAGATGTGGCCTCAGTCTTAATTTTTTGACTCAATCTTTTGAGGCTTTCAAATTTCACGTTTTTTATGATTATTCATGATCTTACGTATAAAGAAGTAAACTCAGAAACAAGAGTCTGCTATTTTGAAATTGATTCCGTCTATTGTTACGGTTGCATTCCTTTCGTTGTTTTTCATATATTTTATGTAAATCAATTTTTACGTTCATGATAGAAGTATCGGAGGCGCGTTGCACGTTAGTTAACTTAAAATTGAAGGTTTTTTTCCTGTGAGCTACCTGATAGATAGACCTATGCAATGATGGACCTGTAATGATGGACCTATTTTAACAAATAAAGATTTTTCAAGTTTGATTAACTTTTTTGCGCACCGACCGATAACCGTGAGTTTTCTTAGACTCTTTTCAAAGTTCCAGAATTCTTAAATTTCTAATCGGATTCAACGATAGGAGAAAATTTCTGAAGTCTGCGCTTACCTGCTTTTTGACGGTTTGCTCAGTATGGGAATATGCGGATGATTAAAATATTTGTAATTCCCACATGGAAGGAAATGTAACGAGACGTCAGTCCCACTCTCTATCTATTATCGCTATCTCCACCAATTTTTACACAACATCGATGGTTATTATACGGTAGTAACTAAGACACGTGAAATCATAGATTGGGTTATCCGGGGTTAACTAAAAGGTTATTAAGGGTAAGTTATCGTTTGGGTGATATGAGATAAAAAGGAAGTAGCGTGCGGACTAGCGGTGAAAGGTTGTTCATCTATAAATTAGTTCAAATATTTTCTATGCAATATGACCCACGATTCCCAGTAGCAAAAACTCAGCGCCTCGCTCTCTCTCTCTCTCTATCTATCTATCTCTTTCTGTATTTTGATGAATTAATGATGAACGAAAGTGAAGAATGAACGGAAGATGGTAGGGTTGTTTTTTCTTCTCCTTGTCATTAACTAGAGAATTTTTGGTATAAATTTCTTTTTTGTCCTGCCGAAGCTACGTATTGAGTTTCAAATTGAAAACTTCATCTGTTTTAAGTTGCTCATTTTGAGCTCTTGAGACGAACAACTGTGGGTTCCGGTGATATCGCTGCGTATTTTATTTTTTCCTTCGCCCGTTGGCAGTGTGTTAAGTACTTGCTAGGGTGAAGTGGAATTAAAAGGAAGTTATTAGTTATAAACCAGCAGGAAAATCGTGATTAAAATTATTTCAGTTTTATATTGGGCAGGGCATATTTGCGTGACGTAAGCCGTTGTTCCATTTTTTGTCATTTTCAGTTCCTTTAGGTTCCATAAAGTTCTGGCCAGTTAAATCTGTCTGTTTTACATCAATTTTCATCCAAAATAAAATTCCAATCAAATTTATCGAGTTTTCATTTTGGTTTTAAAACTTCTTGGAAGCCTCTACACTAATGACACAAAAACCAATAATCAAGTTTTAAATATAGATTGTTCGCAAAAGAGTATTTCATTTTTTGCTAGCGTGAAAGCTATTGTTAAAAATTCTATTTTGAATTCACATCTTTAGTAGCTATTTTGTTATATCTCTTAATCAATCCACAATCTATAATTACATAATCTCTAATAAGTCTAGAGATAGATTGTCATAAGATTGTAAATCTGGAGGTAGGAGGTTCAGTTTTATTTGGGATATTTTTAGCTGTCAAGTCTTATTTGCTTATTTTTTGTTTTATGTTATTTACCCTTGCGATAAGCAAGGGTCTTCCAACCGGGTACTAATCTTTTTCCCCGTAAACAACTTTGTCCACTGGACTCATCTCATACTTGTTTCATTTTTTATTCAAATTGCTTACAGTTCCTGGTCAACTTAGCCTGGAGTTAACGAATGTCTGGGACGGAAAAGGTCCTGGGTTCGAGTCTGACCTGGACCTTTTTTTTTCAAACGGGAAATATTCTGTTTAAAAAAAATTGCCGGCCAATTATTTGTCTGCTTATCTGTTTTTGGCTTAGTTGTCACATTTTGGGATTATTTTTTTCTGCGTTTGTTTTTAAAGCTATGTAGTTTTAAGTGTTTGATTTACGCCTACATTTTGTAATTTTACTTGCCTTGACTTCATATTTCCTTCTTTGTTTTCTTTTGTTTCGCTAAAAAAATTACCCGCCAAAATTTTTTTCGGCTTTGGTTTTTTTCATTGGTTTAATGACCTTTTTGTGGACCTTTCAAGATCAACTCAATTTTAGCACTCCTCTCCACACTTTGCAAGTTGGTTGTGTGTTTACCTATTTTTTTGTAGAAATTTCATTTTTTTCGTTTTGAAATGTTTTTTCACTTTTTGCAAAAATTTTAGTTTTTCTCAGAAGTTTCTTCTGATTTTCACAAAAAAGGAGTAGCAATTGAAAGACCGCTTGTTCCTCTGAGTGCCTGCATACTCCCCTAGAGTTTTTTCCTTGACCCTGCTGTTTACAGCCTTCGAAGAAGTGGGGGGGGGATATTTGACCCATAATTTTTTTCGTTTTCTCGAAAACCTCTGTCAAATACGAGTTTTTGATTTCAATGGATCGAAAAAGTACAATTTTTTTTTATTTTGTGAGCGTTTTTTTAAGGTTTTGACTCTTCTCGAAAACTCTCCCAAATCTGATATTGTTCAATGAGATAACGTGTAGTTGGAAGCTCTTCTGCATTAGCGGATACTATTTGAAAAATGTGCATAAAAAGTTATCGCCCTTTGAAATTTTTTGACAGTTTTCTTACACTTTTTGATTATTCTCGAAAACTACCGTGCCATACCTGAGATCTTGGGTTCAGTTCTTAGAACGGGCTTCAGAAAGTTCGTTTGCTTGTGCGACTACGCACAAATATTATAATCTCCCTATTTTGTGCTAACCGCGGGGATAATCTTGGAAATTGCTTGGCTGAAAATGATTTTTTTTAACTGATATTATTGCTTGTTTTCATTAAGAGTCGATAAACGTAGTTCACTCTCTTGTATAGGTTGTGATGATTTTTTTAAAAGAAAAGGATCAAAATTTGTTCCGGCTCAAATTTGCTTTTTCGCGGTTTGACTTTTGACTTCGAGAGTTAGTGTAATAGTACAAACCCTCTTTTTTCCAACTTAACTCGCAAATAAAAAGCTTCATTAAAAGTTTTACTTAGGCTGTAATCACGAGCTGTAGCATTGGAAATTTCATAGTATCTGCTCTCTGCTTTATTTGTGGCTAGTTTTTGTTATTTATTAAGCGTCCGTGGCTGAGTGGTTAGAGTGTGAGACTCAGTTTATCTAGCTCGCTGGATCGAATCCGACAGCTGAACTTTTATTATTTCGAGGCTTATGTCTACTTTTTGGGTTGCACTTTATAGAACTGCTTTTTGTCGTGTTTTCCGTAGTGTTTGCGAAGCGCAACTTCGCCTTTGTGTAAATTGGAGACTCCACAATCGAACTCCCTTAGTTAATCCACTATCTATTAGCAAAAGTGTAAATATCCCGCAAAACGTGATGGACTTCTAGTTTCGAAAGTGGATTTCAGATTTCTTAGCGGAATAAAAAGTTTACATTTTGATCCAGTTTTCTCTAATTGTTTTAATTATATGAAAAAGCGTCAATCAACAGTTTTTCTTGAATTTCAAAGAAGTTTGAGGGCATCTTTTTTTTCTTTGCA